CAGGAAGATCTAGAACTTCCTGTTGAGCGTTAGTCCACAATGATGAGGATGAACGTAAGCAGACAATGTTTTTAAATGTGGAGTCATGTCTTTAAAATGGTGCAATACCTGCCACAAAGACTGAAGAGTTTGCTTTATTTTGCCGATACCTTCACGTGAACACTCCAAACGCCGTCTCTGTCGTCGGTATATTTTCATGAGGGCCTCCATGTCTACTTTGCCTGCCAAAAAAATAAATCAAACACTAACATTTCTGAAATGGTGAATGAATGAGCTGTTGTTCACTTGAGGAATGTCTGCACATCTGACGCTCACCATGTGGAGTCAGGGACAGGGCCGGGATGAGAATCAGCGTGTCAGGAACGCTGTATGACGGTAGCAGCAGAGATAGCTGCTTCAGAATCTGCCTCCTCAGATCTCCACCCTCGCTGCCCAAATCAACTTGGTGATGTGTAATAAAAGCAGGGAGGTCCTCCTGATGCTCAGCTGAGGCTGAGGCTGTTTGTTCCACACGCTGCTGTACAGATGGGACAGGAGAGGCTACTTTCTGATCCCCAGATGTTGACGCCACAACAAAGGCAAGAAGTCGGGAACCTTCACACAGACCCACAGCACAAGCCTCCACCTGGGGCAGACTCAATATGAGCTGGAGGAGGGGAGGTAAAACAAGAATAGATTTGTCATCAAACAGTCAGTAAACAGACAGCATACTGTATTCCACATGATGACCCATGTGTTTTTGGTATCTGTATACACAAACCCCCCAAAAATGAATAAATTGGTTAAAAACATCAACTAAATATTGCTACAGTAAGAACTGTTTATGTGTTAAAGCTGCACCAATTAATATTTTTATATTAACAAAGGTGTGAAAGGTGTGAAAGGAGTCATGCCTTGTGAAGAACCCATACGGTATCATCCGACTCCTGCAGTAATGCTCGGGCTCTGAGGGAAGTTTCAGCTTCTTTCAGCTGTTTCGGTTTTACAGCCCGTAACTGTTAGGTCACTTCTTTCAACAGTGTCGATTTCAACTCCTTCTCTTTTCAAAAACTCTCAAATAAAGCTGACTGTATGCCACAGTAATACCTACACTGTACATAAGTATTCTACTAAAGCACTGCCTTCAGTCTGCTGTGATACATAACAACTACCTTTAATATTGCCTGAAATGTGTGGAGTTCAATGCACAATAAGTGACTTTTTAAAAACATTTATTACATTACTTGCAGAAAGCTTTGAGAACTGTGTATAGCCATAAACATTAGTTATAATTCTGCATCTTTTATTATCAACAACATCTGCATATAAAGTCTTCTCACTTGCTGCAAGCTGTCCAAGTTCACCCGCTTTCCATGGCGTTTGATCAGCCTGTCTCTGCGTCCCAGGTAGTACAGTTGGGAGTCTTTAACATTTACCCAGTCACCAGTAGCTCTCATCATCCCAGAGACAACAGTCTCCTCATCATCCAGGAGACATACTCTGGCGTCGCCACCTATACCAGTGACCATAACAATTTACTGGAGTTTTGTTCATGTCAGTGTGATATCTTTGTAGTGCACTCTGTGAAATCTCTCCCACCTATGAACACCTGTCCTTCACCCTCTGTAACAAGACTGCCATGTTCATCTCTGACTTCCACCACAGTGTCCATCAGAGGAGTCCCGAGAGGCACAGAGGAGCCCGTGCTACATGGTCTGTAATGTTCAGTAAAGCTGGGTTAACTGCATTTTAAATCAATACGCAGAAGTCATGAACATGTTTGAAACAGGTACACTCACGGGTTGCTGGACTGCAGCAGAGACTCTGGTATTCTGTAGCAGCAGGCCCAGCAGGACACCTCAGTAGTACCATAGATATTGTAGATGTGGGTTTTGTTGTCCTCCTGCCTCCAGCTCATCAGAAGAGCCGGCGAGGGACAGGCCTCTCCACCCAGTGCCAACACTCGCAGCGAGGAGCCAGATGACAACACGTCCTGTTTCAGAATACGGTGCCCGAATCGAACCAGCAGAGTGGGCGTGACCTGTGGAAAATACCTCATTAGAGTGACTAAAAACACTCTCATCCAAAAAGTCTCTGATGAACCAACTCTTGCCTGTAGGACACTCGTCTTGTGATCCTTGAACAGCAGCTTTGCCAGTCGATTGGGCATTTTCTTGATCACGGTAGGGATTATGAGGAGTTGAGCTCCAGATGATAAAGCCAGGAAAATATCCACCACAGAGGGGTCAAAGGTTAAAGGTGAGGCCAGGAATACCACATCATCTGCACTCATCTTAAACAAAGATCTGACCAGAGGAAGATGCACTTGATGCAGAGTTTTATTTATTTATTTATTCATTCACTCATTCACTTGAAAACAAAGCTCCAAAAGAAGCAATAATGACAAAGGGGTATACATACTGACCTCAGGTGCAGTATGTTGGGGAGTATACACCTATGTGGTACCCTCACAATTTTTGGAGGACCTGTCGTTCCAGATGTGTGCAGCACATACGCCAAGTCCCTGTGTCCAGAGTCCTTTTGTATCACGGCTGTATCACAGACAGCAGCACCATCTGCTGTCTGGGTTACAGTGTGTTTTGGTCCTCGGTTATGCTCAGCCACAGACAGAGGCTTGATGTGTACCAGGGTTAATTTGAACTTGGGCACTACCACACAAACGTCCACAGTTATTTGTTTGGTGAGAGCTGTCCAGAATTGCTTGGGAAGACAAAAGAAAAATCAACATAAATAATCATACAAAGCTTGGACAAAGACAGAGGACTTGGACAAATGATAAATTCAAGCTGATATTGTAAGAAATTGCTAATATACTGTATATAACAGAGTGAACTACTGTACAACGTATGCTTAATATGGGATATACATAAAACATTTTAACAGCCAATGTTCAGGCATTAAAAATCAATTTTTGGGATATTTCTCTCAGGATTACTCCATAAACTTGAATTTGCATTTGTGCCTACAAAAAGAAGGCAAGTGTAAATGCAAAGTAAGTATTTAAGGCACTCGTGCATTTTATGTTTTTATATTTTGTTCAAGGCTGGGTCACCGAATTGGCAATTTGGAGGACTGCCACAGAATTATCTGGTCCTGGTAGTTTGTTTTAGTAATTTAATGTCTTGCAGATTTATGAGGGAATTTATACCACTAGAATACATATAAACTAAGGTTTTGCATTATTGGCTATAATGTCTTCCTGTCTTGGGTCCTGTATATAAATTTAGATTTAAGACAGTCATTATTTTAGCTTATATTATGCTCACATTGTTTGTAATCTTAGAAAAAGTTCAATCAAATAAGCACAAACATATTAATACACATAGAATCTGTTGCCAGGTAGTGTAATTCCAGCACAGGAGTACAAGTTTGATCTGTGGTTTGTAGCAAAGCTGTTTAGAGGCAACGAGGTAAACATACTGTGTACAAAGGGCGGAAAGCACTGTATGCATGAGGGTGGGAGGTCAGGTGGGGCCCAGGGCTAAAACTGTCCCCAAGCATTCTTACCAAGCAAATCCAGTTTAGAGTTTTTTTTTGCCGAGAAACATTTCATTCAGCTGTATTTCTGTATTTAAACTTTTAACTTACACCCGAACATGTCTCTAAATACTATTACTAAAAGTTATACTTTCATTGTTTTATATTTGTATGTATCCCAATGTATAAGAAATATTCCACCTGAAGGAGGTCAGTCTTCACAGCACAGTACTTGAGGCCACACTGGTTCATGACTCTGGCAGAGAGAAGTCCTGGAGCTTCTGGGTCCAGTGGGACATAAGCTGCAGGTGACTGCAAGATCCTGGCAAACAAAATATATTCATGATTCATGACAGACAGACAATCACGTGTTAAGGCATAGTGAATCACACAGTCAACATCAACAGGAAACTCACCCCAAAATCCAGACAGGTATAAACAGATCATCACTGCAATACAGCCCGATGACGCCGTTATTAGGAGAGATGTTCGTGCGCAAAATATGAGACAGTTCCCCGGCCAGTTCAACCAAATCTTTGTACAGCAGAGACACCGGGCTCCCTGACTTTGATCCACTGTCATGTGTCACAGCTGTCCTGTCAGGGTGCAGGGAAGCAGCGGCGGACACAAGCTCCTGCAGTGTCCCAGTAGCCATGGAGGTCATTGTTCATTTTCTGCTGGAGCCGATCGTGAACAAAAATGCACAAAGCATATTTCATGTTTTCCAATTGAGGCAGGCGGGGGGAGGAGGGGTGTCGCATAAAAAGGACGTCTCACTAATGGCGCCTTCAAACGCTCGTCTTAAACTCTAGTGTGTTTCATCGCGTGTGCGATACTGTAACTGTTTTTTCACTCTAATTTATTTATTGCTACGTATGGGTATCTCTATTATTGAAAATCCTAGAGGCTGCTATATATGTTTCAAATAAGTTTTGTTATTCAAGTAAAATATTCAGACGTGCTATTTATGAGACCCAGATATTGTATAATTTCCCAGTGGAAGTGAAGGCACCACATGTTCGCTGTCCAATCACCTTTCGATATTATGTGCAAGAAGAATTTTTGAATCTGAAAGCGCTTTTGATTTTGGGTCGGCTAGCTTGCTACTTTTTATTGTCTATTAGCATTGGAAGACTACTTTTATATGCAACATGGATGCGTGTTTGCAGACACAACTGAACAATAATCATTTAAACTACAAAAGGTCACTAGATCGAATCATAGACAAGGTGTGTTAGTGAGTCTGTGGCGTGGTGGTAACGTTAGCATCTAGTGAAGTAGCCAGTGTTAGCTTAGGGTCAATTATAAACTACGATGTTTGCTAACCTCTGCAATTGCTTTTAACAGTATTCTAAGCTTCAGTACCAGGATGAGGGGGTAGAAGTGGACCTCAAGAATACAGAACCCCAAAGTAAGTCAACTACAAGGTTTATAACATTGTTTCTGCCAGTTGGCTAACGTTAGTTAGCAGACAACCTTATAGTCATGCTGATATAAAATAAAACCTTGTTGACAGACTGTCATCAAGGTTTACGACGTTAGTGAAAGCTCTGATCTGCATATCAACTACATTTTCTTTGACATTGCGCCACCTAACGTGACTGTTCCTGGTTAACTAGACAGTTGAAACGAGGACCATAATTTAGCATGATCGATTTAAAATACATCGATCAGGCATAACATTATGACCACCTGCTGTATATCTGTATGCACTTGAACACTTCTGCCTTAACATTTGTGTTTATGAAGCTCAAAATGTTTCAGTTGTTCCTAACATTCTGACCCTCTCATGTATGTCAATGCGCAGGACAAATATACAGATACTGTACCTCTGAATATAATGTAGTTCACTACAACATCACCTTTAACTATGACCTCAATAATGAACATATAATTGAATTTATACATTTATGACAATCTCACCAAAAACAAACATTTTGAGCTTTAAAAAACACAGATGTTAAGGTGGAAGTGTTGCATTGAAGTGCATACAGATGTAGTGGTCATAATGTTATTCCTGATCGGTGTATATTGTCTGTTATGTTTTTCAGTGTTGATATAATTCGATGCATCGAGTAGTCAATCAACAGAATACAAGTATCCAACAGTTTTAATAACTGATTATTTAAATTACGCATAAATATAAAAGACCAAAGTTGAATATTTCTATTTACTTTTTGTATCATTTTAGTCAACATAAAAATTTGATTTTTTAAATTTTATTTCACAGATTAAACAATAATGAAAATAATTGCTAGTTGCAGCTATAACAGTATTCTTTTGTTTTTTTGTTGTTGATTTGCTTCCATCTTTGCAGTTGTCATGTAGTCTGGTCTCATTATGTAACCTTATCTGTTATTTGTCTCGCTTCCTTGCATGATGAAGTACTCGAATACTACATGAACATGTCAGAAATAGAGCTGAACAATCTGGATTCAAAGGTTTGAACACTGAAATCATCAAAGGCAATAATTAGATTTAGAGAGCAGTTTAATGGATCTGTTTTTATGCCATCATACATTAAAATCAAACATCTTCTTCTCAGAGTCTGACAGATTTGAGAGAGGAATCATTATGTAAGTATCACCTAAAATGAGAATGACAATTAAGAGATGTTTATAAGTTGTGTATTTAATTTAACTACATTATTTCTTCCACCACCAGCACAGGACATTTCAAGAAACTCCCAGGTAAATATAATACTGGAATTACCAGCTTGTCTTCTGCCTTGTATTTCTAGTATACAGTGTCTTAAATTCATTATGGTTTGTTTTCAGCAGTTGGACTTCACACATCAAGATGGCAGCGTTGACAAGACTCATGCATCCGGCAGCCAGTTTTCTGTAGAGGAGGATGGTAAGAACAATAAAGCAACAGGCAGTTTGAAAGGCCAAGTTATGGCAAACATAAAGTAAAAACATTATAGCCCACATACTTGGCCTCTGCACCTGATGTAAAGAAGTTTCTTGGGGAGGTGCATGCACTTTTGTAAAGACATAAGGCTAGGTTTATTAGTTGTCTAATTGTTGATGAGATTTATTTTCATTATTTGTGTCCTGCAGGGATGGCTAGAAGTAACATGACTCAGCTGACTGTAAGTTCGTTGGGTGATAGCCACAGAAACACTTCTGAGACAGAGCTCCAGCCTGAAGACCAAGATGAGGAACTGGAAATGACTCTGAGATGTCACGGCAGCTCTTTTGTGGAGCTCTATCCCAGCATGATCAGTCGAATAAAGAGAGCCTGGCATCGGAAGAATGTGTCTGAGGCCGCTGGCTCGGTGCTGAGGAGGTACCGCAGGTGGCGACAGCAGCTAAATAGAAGCCATCTCAACAACACCTTCGATGTCAGACTGAGACACACCAGCATCAACCCAAAAAAGATGACCAAAAAGACACTGTTCAAGGAGAACTCCAACAGCCCAGAGCGAAGGCAGCTCATGAAAATAGAATCTGCCCCTCGGTCTCCTTTGCAGATGGTAAACAATCTGCGGTATTGTGAAGTACAGCAGTATTCTCCGGGGAGGGAGAGGTGCTCACAAAGAAGAGAGCGGCATCAGCCTATCATCATGATGGATGCCTCTGAGCTCTCTGAGGCCTCTAAACCAAAAGAAATATTGAACAAGACCTTCACTGTATCTGAACTGGGAGAACAGCCTTCCACCTACACTGCCAGTCTTTTACGACCTTCCTATCCCACTGCAAAAGCATCCTTGGACAGGTCTCTTAGGACTAAGAGGCTTTCTCTCTCTGCACACTCAAAGCAAACTGGGTGCTCCTCCTATCCACTGGAAACCACTGCTGTTAAAGAAAGACCTGACTTCTACAGCTCCCCAGTCAGGCAGGGTCCCTTAAATGCAAGAATGATGAATGACCTCAGTAAAACAGCACAAAGCTTTTCCAGAAGCCCCAAAGAATATTCCACATTTCCATTGTCTTCTCCACAAAAGCCTGCTGGGGCAATGAGGATACTTTGCCCTCAAGTCTCCCATCACTCCCTGCAGCCACATTTGCACTCCCCTCAGTCAGGCACAGCGGAAGGTCGTCTCAGGCTCCGGCGGCATCTTTCCTTTGATTCGTCCCAGCCATCAGTCCGTGTCTTGTGCTCACCAAAAAAGCTTGATGAGGACTTTAAAAAACTCTACCACAAGTTCGTCTGTCAGAACAAGTCCTCATCCTTTAATGGCCCTCCCTGCCGTCTCTGTGCCACAAGCTCTGAAGCCAGCAGTGGTCATTATTCCTCAGCTCTGGCAGCTCTTGCCTTGTCGCCCCACCGCTTCATCCTGAGGAAACGCCACAGAGAGTTAGGGTGTGTCAGCCAACCCCAGTCCAAGCGCTCCAGAGAAGAGTACTGCATGTCCTCCCCGGGATCCAAACGCCATGGGAAAGAGCTACTGAGGCGTTGTCTCTCTCTGACCGAATCTGAGGACCTCTCCTTTAGCTCCAGTAAATACAGCATGTTTCAGAAATTCAGTCAGCGCTCAGCAGATGCACATCAGGAAGCCGGGACAAGCCAGGGTCAGCCATCGGAGTTCTTTGCTCTGAGTAAGCTTCCTTCATAAAACACTGTATTTATGCACAGTCTTGTTTGGATCCTGTTGTTTGTCCTTTATACATGTTAAATCCTGTCATCACTGATCCATAAGTCATTATTATTCATTTAACAGGAGGTTCATTTGAGAAAAGTGCAGCAAGTAGCTACTCCCCCCGGTAATTCTGTTCACTTCCTATACATAGTATTTGTTTTCCAGCATTTTGTGTTCTCTTAATCACCATCACTTCTTCCCCAATATGTGCAGAAAATGGTGAACATGGATCACACCTGCCCACAGATGTTCCTCACCAAGCCCTCGAATGGACTGAAGCAATACTGGTTCAAAGTATTGTGGAATTAATTGGTGTAGTTCTGTACAAACACTGGTGAAAAGTGGGTACAGCAAAGCACATGTGACTCTGGAAGCATTTCTTTCAGCTGGTAGTCTGAGCTCCGGAAGCTTTGTTACTAAATTGTATTGCAACTGTTAAGACATTTAAAATTCTATTATGAATTTCCATTTTGTCTTTTTTCTTAAATACTATTAAAACTGATGTGTGCTGTTATTTGTATTCTTGTATGTTCTCTAAATTTGACGGTGCTCTGTTGCATTATTACAAAATGTTCATTAAAATAAGTGTCTGAAAAAAAAAAGCCACGTATTTGTGCTTACTGCAGTTTATTACATTTAGAATGTTTTAATAAAACAAAATATCCATCAGTCTGACCCAAAACAAATGAGCATAATCAATTTTAAGTAAAGGTAGAAAAGTACATGATATGTTAAGTGAAGACAAACTTTTTGGTTATTATTGTTGTGCATGTTTAAACACTCAGATTTGTTAAGAAGCTTGCAATATGAAAACATGACAAATTGGTTTCAAGTCTTTTCTGAAAATACATGGTACCCTTTAAAGTAAAAAAAAAAAACATTGATGCTGTGGTCAAATATATGCACCTGTACACTTGAATATGTTGATGTAGTAAAGTCCATCCACCAGAGGTCAGCAATTACAAGGTTTTCAACTGCTGCTCAAGGGATTTGAGGACGATCATGCTTGTCTGTAGAAAAGGCACATGCTGTAGGACTGCAATTACAATGTCTTATAGTGTTGAGACAGTGGCATGTAACTGTTGTGGGAGCACGCGGTGAAGCCACAGAGCTACTGCTGTAACTTTGGCGGCGCTTGGCAGCAGTACAGCAGCTACCACTCCAGCTCTACTGGATATTTCCCAGTCAGGCAGGCAGTGCAGTGGCCAGCTCTCTTGCTGGAGTTGTTACTGGAATTTATCATCTTGTCCTCCTGGAGGGAGGCAATCCCCTCCTGGACTGCTGACACCAGGCCCTCCACACTCAGATACTGAACACTGTCAGCACCTACACAACAGGGCAAGTTAACTCAGATGCTTAATTTTACTTCAATGTATAGGGATTGTCAAATGAACTGTGAAAGATGCATTACTAGTTTGAATCGTGGCAAAAGGCCACACTGTCAGATATACTATTACATGCTGCATATTACTACTTACCAATGTATCCAGCAATGTCCTGAAACTCTGGCTTGTTAGCGATGAGCTCTTCCTTGGTTGGAATATTAATGCCCATGTAGCAAGGAAACCTGAGAGGTGGAGAGGCAACTCTGATATGGACCTGTCAAGGAGGAAGTCAGGTCAGTGTTGCAGCCTATGTCATATTCATGTTGGAACAAGCAGTGTGTTGCAGTGTCGTGCTGCCCAAAAAGGTCAACACCTGATAAGGTTTCTGACCAAAATACTGTTGTATGCACAAATACTGGAGAAGATCACCAGGACTCCACTGCCCTCTCTGCAGATCATTTACCACCACAGGGTGTGTAGGAAAGCTACCTCCATCCTCAAGGACCCCACCGACCCCCAGCACGGACTGTTCGCCTCCCTACCCTCCGGTCGGAGGCTCAGAAGTGTGAAATGTAGGACTTCTAGACTGAATACTTTATATTTCATTTGTATTTTGTGGCATTCATGTGGAAGGCAAAGGAAGAATTTCATTGTACAGCGAAACCCGTTTCCTAACTGTGCATATGACAAAATAAACACTTTGAACTTGACCTTTGTATTCAACTATAAGGCTTTGTGCCGCAGTGTATAGCTGCCACCATGAGGAAAAAAGATTTTGCTCGGTGTCTTGACATTTTTCTCATTTTTCACTTTACAGTGTTATAGTTGTCATGTTCTAATGACATACTGTATTTTCTCAATATGAGATACTGTATTTTCTTGTTCTAATGACAAAAATTCTGGGTTTGTGTGTCAAATCATTGATTCTCAAAGACCGACTGGAGTGCACCTCCTAAGCCCAGTGCGGGTCACTGTGAAAAGTTGGCGTCATGAAAAAGATGACTGTGGTGACACGACCATTATGGGATACGGAGTACTCACATTCATCATGAGAGGAGTGCTCCAGCTGGTGCTGTGCGAGATGCTCCCACAAGGGGTATGCAAGTTCTCAGCAGGCAGAAGTCTGCATAACACCGGTGTGTTGAGAATAACTGTAGAAATGATCCACTCGAGTGTATGTTATCACAGATCACACACAGCACTGGCTGGAGCACCCCTCAACAACACCCATACCGACCTTCCACACAGTGACCAGCTCATGAGCCACAATATCCTGCACATGGAAGATTGTAATATGTAGTACTGTGCAAGAGTCTTGGGCCATCATTAGTTTTAGCAGGGATGTAATGTAATAATTTATATTCAATTCTTGGTCTCTTTATTTAGATATAACTAGAATACATCTACACAATATTAAAACCATGGTGCGGTGGGTAGAGCAGTCGTCTCCCAGCCAGAAGGTTGAAGGTTCAAATCTCGGTGCCTGCAGTCCACATGGCAAATGGTCCTTAGGCAAGACACTGAACTCCCCCCGATGGTTAGAGCCATCGGTTCTGTACCGGAAACAAATTCCTTGTGTGTAACATACTTGGCCAATAAAGGTGATTATCCATGTTTCACTGAAGGCTGCCAGCACTCATTCTTCCACTCTCTCCATCTCTCATCTTCTCACATACTGTCAACAATTGGACCCGATTTTATCACTCTTTTCCACTGATCTGATCATCATTGGCATTTCTCCTTGTCCCTGTTCTGAAAAAGTGGTTTCTTGGCTACTGTCCTTCTGCAAATGCCGTTCCTGATCAGGCTTCTTCAGTTTGTGGAAGAATTAACTTGGCATCCAGATGCTGAGCCAGGTCCTTGCTGGATTTCCTCTGGTCTCTCAAAAAAGACTGACATTTTTCTTGGTCCTCCACTCCTGTTTTTGTCCTCAAGCTCTTCAAATTCTTTATGTTTCAACAGCTTGAATACCACATACTAAGTATCCATTTTGTTATTTTTTTCTGTTTTTAATACCATGTACACATTTCTTATGTTTTGTAGTTGTATTCTGATAAATATATTTAGTCATCATAACATGCTCAACTAGTGACCTAAGACCTTTGCACAGTACTGTACTCAACAATTTGCAGAGCACTAGTCTACAAACCTCTGTTGCACCAGCTTCCTTCAGCAGTTTAATAATGGGGGAGATGGTGTTGCCTCTGACAATAGAGTCATCGACTAGTACAACTCGCTTCCCGGCAAAGTTGTCTGTCAGTGCGCCGAACTTCTTGGCAACTCCCAGCTGCCTCAGACGGGTATTTGGTTGAATAAATGTTCTCCCGACGTAGCGATTCTTACACAAAACCTCTACGTAAGGCAGCCCACACTGTGAATGGAGGTAAAAAAAAGCTTATGAAGAAATAGGTCCATCAGAAAAAGACTGTGCGACAGCACTTCTTTAGAGTTAAAACAGACAGCTTGTAGATGACCTGCTGAGCGTAGCCCAGTGCAGCAGGGGTTGCAGACTCTGGCACAGTGCTGACCACATCTGCGTTTGTTGGAGCCTCAATGGCCAACTGTCGACCACAGCGCTGTCGGACAGTATAGACCATCTGCCCTGCAGTACAGTGGTACAAGATGCTTGACATGCAGCACACTTAAAGCATTCCAGTAATTCTATAACACAGCCATACAATGAAGAGCAAAGCAGAAAGTAAGATTCACAACAAATATTCATACCTTCAAAAACAGAGTCTGGTCTGGCAAAATAAACATATTCAAATATACAGAAGGCAGGGAGGTCTTCTTCAGGACGAGGCACGACACACAGAGACTTGACTCCATGTTTGGATATCTGGACTATCTCTCCTGGTAGGACCTCTCTGTAATACCTGAGAGACATTTAAATGGACATAATCAATTATAGTGCAGAAGATGTTGCGTTACTGGTTTTTAAAAAAACAAAAACATACTTGGCACCAATAGACTGGAAGCTGCAGGACTCCGATGACACGACCCAGCCCTCAGTGTCCTCCTCTTCAGCACCTGACCAAAGGCACAATCAAACTAAAGTTAATCATCCACTAGCTGATGTATCAAAGGTCGGTTTGTGACAAAAGAAAAAAAAACTGTGCACTACCAACCTCTTGTGAGGTCTCAGAGCTGCCCCTTGTAAAATAAATAAACTAATTAATTGATTGATTTTTTTTTTTTATACCTGAACTGTGCAGTTTAGAGATGGGAACAAGCTGTCCAATGCAGAGGGGCCGGTTCCCATAAGGGTCACGCACCGTGTAGATAACATCTTTAAACATCACTAACAGTGAGTACGATGTGGGGGTCTCAGTCATGAGGTTTTTAATTCTAAATTACAAAAAATATATATATATATTTAGATAGTATAGAGAAAAAAGTTAATATTTATGCAGCGTTAAATCATATCACTGACCTGGCAACCCAGTTTGGTCCATCCTGTTCCTCCATCGGCGGAGTCAATGCCAGCAGCTGGGTGATGAGCTCACTGTCTGAACTGGTGGAAAGGCCTACACCATGGCGCATCACCTGCATGGCACCATTAATACAGAAGTGTTATTTCATGCAGGCTAACAGCCATTTCCCTGCATACAGAAGAAAATAATTCCACACTGAACATACTGTATGCATTATACACTGTGGACTTTTATTTGTGGTGACAAGAGAGCAACCAGAAAGAGACGTTTATATGCACCAGATTCAGAGTGGACAAGGGGATGACAGTGCTCACCTTCTTCCGCAGGCCATTAGAATTAACCAGCTCTCCATTGTGGGCTACAGCAATCTTGCCGTGCAGTGTATCCACCACAAAGGGCTGACAGTTCTGCAACTCTGAGATCCCCGTAGTTGAATAGCGTGTGTGACAAATACCCAGGTTAGCAGAGCGCAGCTTCAGAAGAGCCTCTGGTGGGAAAGCAGTGCTCACCAATCCCATCCCCTAAAAAATGGCACGAGGTGGCAGTGAGAGATGTCTTCACTTACAAAATCCCAACAAAAAAAAAAATCACACGCAGCAATCATGTTTTAAAGTGAAAAACCAGGCCACAGTCTGGATGTAATGATGCTTTAAACAACCATTATAATGTTCAGTGTAATTGTGTCAAACTGTGTACATACATATAACAGAAACATATGTATGGTTTTGAAAAGCTGCTCAAATGATTTCTGCAGTTTTAACAACATGGGTCTGCAAGATGAACTCCTCTTTTCTTTATTTTATACAAGGCACTTCTGCTCATAAGTTTCTGTTACCTTGAGGGTTGTGTATGTGGGTGGACTGTCTCCATTACTTGTAACAATCCCAGCACTTTCCTGACCCCTGAGTAGACAAAAACAGTCACATGTAAATTGAAACAGTGTAAATATATCAGTGGGAAATGAGTTTATACTGAATCCTCGCTCAGGCTCTTTTCTGCAAAACTACACATGAATAAACTTGTTCAACTAGAACGGTTCGACATGAGCCTTGAGGCAAAGCAGACTGGTTTAATTTGGGCAAATAAAACAGGAATGAGAACAACTTCTGCTTCTCTGCTGTGGATCTGCCATATAAGGAGTGGTCTTGCTGCAGTTTCAGCCTATTTACCAAGATGCTTCTCAGATTACAGTTAGTCCCACCCCCTCAGCACACAGCTTAAGCCAGTGGTGAGGCTGCTTTCCTGCATGAAGGCGTTGCTTTCAGGCTTAGCCGCCTGGTTGCCTAGGAAACTGGGCAGCACAGACAGACGGTCTGGGGAAAAGAAAGCGTTTCCAGGTCAGCTCAAACATGGAGAGAGGAGCTGAGACACAAAGAGGAGGTGATAGGGAGGTGATGGAAGGAAAAAGCTCAGCGGAGAGGCCATGGGGGGAGGCAGAAGTGCTGGCTCTCATGTCAGTGTGGGACGAGGTGGGAGCTCAGCACGTAGCTGAGAGCAGAACCACATTTGAGCTGATCTCAGAGCGTCTGAGGAGGCTTAGTGTTGTGCGCAGCTGGTGGGAGTGTCAGGCCAAAAGCAGGAGCCTGGGACTTCAGAGCAGGAAGCCTGATGCAGCAGCAGGCACTTCAGCAAACTACAGCCCAGGAGTGGATGGAAGGCCGGTGAAGGGCTGGGAGAAAGAGGTGGAAGATGTGGGTAATCAAAGAGGAATCTACCTTCCCTCAGTCACTACCCAAATGCAGGAAGGTAAATGTAGGTTCAGCCCAAGCCGTATTCACCATAACATACTAACAATGCACAACACATTATAATATTTAAACAAAAACAGAGGATAAAAAGATGGATGTGAGTAAAACTAGATTAGCCTGAAGCAGAACACTTGGACATTTACCTGTTTTGAAAATTGTAACAGCATTCGAGTCAGATTAAATTGCCATTGATACAAGAGACACTGTGTGTGCATGTGTGTACAGGAATTAACAGTCGAATCCATCAAGCTCTTCCTTACTCTCCAAGTGTGGCTGAAGAGGGGGGCCGCCACTGGACAGACGATGAGGTGCGGGCACTGTTGTGTGTCTGGGCTGACTGGCGTATTCGAGAGCGCTTGAAGTGCACGCTACGCAACAAGTCCATCTTCCAAGAGATGGCCCGTCAGATGCAGAGAAAGTTTGGAGTGGTACGGACATGGAAACAATGTCGAACAAAGTACAAGAACTTGAAATACGACTACAAGACTGCCAGGAGCGCTCATGCTGCTGGGGGCGGCAGCACTGCAGGCCCAGGGAAGTACATGAAGTTCTTTGAGGAGGTGGAAGCCATTCTGCTGGACCGTGAACTGGAAAACTGCTCATTGGAGATGCAGAGGAGGTTGGGTAAAGAAGATGTGACAGCAGGGAGGCTACAAACCCCAGAAGGCCACACAGCACAGACCACAGCCTCAGAAAATGAGGTCATCATAGAAATTGACGATGGTACGTTTTCAGTCTGCTCAGCATATGGTAGTTTGGTATTCAAGGCTAAAACAACATTCAATTTTACTACTTATTTTACTTCCAGATGACAACAGTGATGATTATGATATGGATGGAGACATCGAAGCCAAGTGGATCGGAACTGGTATGTCACATCAAGTCACCAGTGCAGCTTACAATATGCCATCTGCTCCTGCATTAATTTGTCTTTATTCACTCCAGATGCCCAACTAACAGATCCATCCAGCTCTGACCAGTTCCATGTTGTCACAGTGTCAGACACAGGGCGAAACTGGAGCGATCAGGAGGTGCGAGCCCTAATTCAAGTCTGGTCTGATGAGCGTGTGTGCAGGCAGTTGGAGAGCTCCACCAGAAAGAGAGACATCTTCGTCCAGATCTCCAACAGGTTAATGCAGCAAGGCATTGAACGCGACTGGAAACAGTGCCATACCAAATACAAAAACCTCAAGTACCTTTACCGTTCCCTCCAAAGGGGTAAGAGCGATGAAGCTGACCCAAGACGCCTTATGAAGTTCTACGATGAGGTGGATGCTATTATGAATCACACAACTAATGGCTCCCCAAATACCAGACCTGCAGACCACAAAGCAGATTCAGGAGGACTTGGGACGCCGGAGGGCGATCATGTAGATGTCTGTTTGACAAAGGCAAACACAGTGATGGAAACAGCAGGAGTGACGGAGGAGAGAACTTATGGCTCCAATTCTGTCTCATCTATAAACATCAGTGTTGCACCAAAGAATGAAGAACCAAGGCTGCAGACATTAAAGGAGCATCGCATGGATCAACAACACAGAATGATGAGTGAGCCAATTATTGTTTATTAATATATAGTTTACAGATGTTTGATAAGAAGAATTCACACAGTTTAATACATCTATGAGATCAGCAGGAGCAGAGCAGCTAAAACATTACATTTTGTCTTTGTCTCTCAAAGTGTTGGCAACAGCTCAAAATCACAAAACTGATATATCCAACTTAGGAGTTCCCAAACGTCACCCAACTAAATGAAACTTTTAGAGTGAGGAGTTTTAAAAAAAAAAAAAAACAAACAAAATCAACCCACAAAAAAAAAAAAAAAAAAAAAAAAAAAAAAAAACAGCAACAACAGTTTTTCTGTATAAAGGAGTTCTAATGTGGATTATCTCAAATCACAAGGAAAAACTAGTATTTTTAAGTGCTATCAATTGTTTAAAATATTTAATCATGACAAATGCATGATTGTCCATAATTAACTCGCAATTAACTACACTTTATTCTTAATCTGAAAAGTACCTTAATGGGACCCTGAGGTAACTGACTACTGAGAGAGGTCCCTTATTTTCCAGTGAGCACAACCCTGTTTGTCCATTCCAACGCCTCCTCCACTTTAGCCTTCTCGTCTTCATACAGGTTGTGTATCTTGGTTCCAGTGGTGGCTCTCAAAGGCAACTCATTAGCATCAAAACATACTTAAAGTACTAAAAGTTAAAGTACTCATTATGCAGAATGGCACATTTCACATTTCTTTATATCACATTATTGTATTATATTTACTGATGTATTATGTGTAGACCACATTTAATGCTGCAGCTGGTAAAGGGGGAGCTCATTTTAACCATTTTATATGCATTTAATCTGAATTACTGCTGGGTAGCTTGTGAATTTTCCACCACTGATTAATGAGGTCTTTTAATTGCACTGTATTTTTGTATTAATCTGGTTCTGAAAAGTAACTAAAGTTATAAAATAAATGCAGTGGAGTAAAAAGTACAATATTTGCCTCAACAATGAAGTGAAGTCACAGTATGAAGTAACAGAAAATGAAAATACTCAAGTTCAGATACCTTAAAATTGTACTTGGAGTACTTAGTTACTTTCCACCACTATTTAAAAGTTTCTTTTTTAAATGTGACTAATTTGCAATTAATCAGGAGTTAACTATGGACAATCATGCAATTAAATATTTTAAATGATTGACAGTACTAGTATTTTCATTTGTTACTGTAGTTTCTGAAACCAAAAATGTTTTCAAACTTAAGTGTGAAGTTTGGCAGTAGATAGGTATTAATAAAATGGCATCTTTCCAGAAAATGACTAATTCCACATTGCCAAAGTACATGTGTAACATTTTCTAAATCGTTCTTACAAAGGGTAGTTAGTGTTTCCATATTTTGTAAAATAATGTTGAGGGGTAACATTTGTAAATGGTATTTCTAAACTGTGTTAGTGACAAAAAAAAAAACTTCCAATAAGAGAACAGACCCTTTACCAACAAATGCTGTTTACAAATCTATTCCAGTAAGAAGTTACATTAGGAATAGTAATAACTTCTCTCTGAAAAAGTGAGCAGATCTTTGTATTTATATTCCTAGAATTGGGAAAACAAACATTACCAACCAATGTGTCAGTAGGGCCTAAAAAAGGTAAGGTGTAAGAGAGGTTGCATCCTTTCATAAGGATCATTAAAACCAGAGGGATTTGCATTCAAAATCCTGGCAAACTACCTTGGCCTCACAATCATGTTGTAATGAGCAATACATTCTTCATAGCTAAAAGATGTCCTCTATTATTGAATAACTGACACGCCAAAATCATACTGTTGTCAAACCAACTGTCCAAAAATAAAGATTTGTTTTTAATTAGCATACCCTTGTTGTCGCTTCTACACTGCCTTAAATCACAGAGGAAGAAGAGTCACGTTCCGTGGTGCCCTTTGACCCGGTGCGTCAGTGAAACCGCTCCGGGCACAGTCGCTTTGTAACATTATGGAGGTATATGGGAAGGCGCCGTTTGGCCCCATGAATGGAACATTTACGTATAAAAAATATCCAGATGGAAATGTTGAGCGTCGTTCTCTGCAGTTTCTGCAATAAGGAATTTTCGTACCATCGGAGTACGTCAAGCCTGAAATATCACCTCAATGCAAAGCATTCTGCCGCGAGCCCGGTTGTTCGAGCTAGCACAACTCCTCACGCTAGAAGCCAGCCCCGTCAAGCCACAATCGACCAGACCATCAGACACAAACTCAGTAAGTCTGCCTGTGACCGACTAACTTAACTGTCTTGCAAGATGGGCTGCCGATCAGTTTCGGTGGTAACGTTAGTGGACAGGCGGTTAGCAGAGGTTTTACAGATAGCATCTTCTGACACAACTTACAAGCCACCATCAAGAAGAACAATTGTGTCCGAAGCCCAGCAGAAAGGAGAACAAAAGAAGATGTAGTGGCGGGAGCCGAATATATTGCGCTGACCGTGGATCACTGGACTTCAGTGAGCGATCACAGTTACTTCGGTGTTACTGCACGCGTCATTGACAGTGAGTGGAAACTTCAGGCATTTTTTTTGGCATTTAAATTATGAAACACAGACCATCATTACAATGCCAAGGAAAGACTGGGAAACTGATGGACTTAGTTCTGTCATTGTTCTTGCTTAAGCATTTTTTAATTGTATTTCCTCAGCATCATTATGGCCATTAATGCATATGGACAGTGGAAAGAAATGTTCTTATTCTGAAATAAAGAGACATTGAATATAAGTCTATGTATTATTATTATTCATTCATATGCCAAAGTTGATTTGAATTAAAATATTTTTAAATACTTAAACAGCAAAAATTGATGTATGCAATTAAGATGAATACAATTTTAATCACTTGATAGCCCTAAAAAAGTTTTACATCTCCTTTCTGTGGCGTAATTAAGCTCAGTGAGTGGTTGAAGCAGCTCTGAAAAGATGTGTGAATAAGTTAACTTTGTCTGTCCAACTTCTTTTAAACAGCATGTGAAGTTTTTTTAATAGAATGGCTTGTTTTATCCATCTTGTATCTGCAGACTCGACTGAAACTAGGGTAGAAATGGAGAAAACCTATCCAGAAAACAGGGGAATGAAGAGGAAAGCTGTGGATCAAGGTTGGAAATGTGCCTCCTCCTGTAATCACTTTGCATGTCACCTGACATCCACAACTGACTGAAGCCTTTCTCATTTCTGACACACCCCAATGACCTGCCCTGGAGCCTCATAGTGAAATTATTATTAAGGGTACGGTTGTAACTGCTACCAAAGGCACAACCCATGATCATGTCCACTGTCAGACTAAGAGAAGGAGAACCTTTGCTAGCCCATGTATTACAGGGCTATGTTTTCTGACTTACCTGTCTTTGTGCCTTTTCAGACCCCTTACAGACAGCAATGAAAAAACACAACAGTGGCTCTGACGTTGCTGATAATGCGGCAGCCCAGTTTAAAGAAGAGCAGGATCACATCCCAATAATAAAGATCAGTTCAGTGAGTTCACTGGCCTCCCCTAGTCCATCATCAGAGAGAGAGGTAATATCTATTAACCAACCCCATGTAACAAATAGTACAATATCTTACATAACCAAGGTCAACAACTGCACAAATTGTTCCTAAGCTCTAAGACACATGGTCTATACAAACTATTTCTGCCTTTCAGGAGAGTCTGTGCCTTTTTTTTTAATGGCTGCAACAACTAGTCGATTAGATTAGATTGAACTTTTTTGTCATTACCCATGTACAGGTACAAGGTAACGAAATGCAGTTTAGCATCTAACCAGAAGTGCAATAACAGCAATTAATCAAGTAGTTGGAAAAACAAAAACTATTGTGGTAATTGTCATTTTTTCCAGTAAAATGACATTTTCAGGTTCCATCCTATTAAATGTTAGGATTGGATACTTTACCTTGTCATATATGATAAACTAAATATCTTGGGGGTTTTCAGCAGTTGGTTAAATGGTTGTCTTTGGCTGAAGTAAACATAGGCCTATGGGCATTTGAGAGACAAAATAATCATCAGATCTGTAGTGTAAATAAGCATTAATGCAGCCAGACATCTCAATATGAGAGCAGAACTGTTGCCCAATGTTGAATGTATTGCAACATTTACAATATACAATTTGGTGTAATGGTGCAATATTACAGCTTTTTGAAATGTTTGTATTTTCATGCTGACATGACACCTCTATAGTTCTCTTGTTTTTGTCCTTTTTCTCTACTGTGCCAATAACAGTGCTGCCTATAGACTGTGGCAAATGCTCATGATCTGGGTGTTTCTGCAGAAATGCAAAGCTTTGACTGGATTCCTGTCTTGCACAAGCTTGACTTGTTAAGTTAACCTGTGCTCATGAACTGTTTTTTCAGAATGGTACGTTTGTGAACTTAGCTCAAAAGTAAGTTGGTTTCGGATGCATTCAGATATATACTGTACACACACTAATGACCTAAAAACAGAACTATACCGATGTTTCCACAACTGGGATTGGTGACCTATAGTACTTCTGATAAAATCATGAGCACTTCGGTTTCAGAATCATCAAGGCGGCATTTAAATGTATACATACAATTTATTAAAGTAGATTTTAAAGTATTCACCCTTGCAGTCACAAACACTTCACTTGCGCTGCTCCATCGAGGTTTCTTAAATAAGATTCCCATCATTATAAGATATTTGAAGCCTCTGTAAACTTGCTTGTTTGTAGTTTGACCATAAGTGTGCTACGTATAGTGTTGTACAATATGCAGCTGTTTTGATTGGGGGTGTGACCCGTCAAGTTACACGCACATTTCCGTTACTTACCTGTGCTGTAACGCCACCAGTCCCAGGGTTAACACTTGCGCCACGTCCAGCTGCGTGGGCCACTCTCCGGCAGCCACACACCCGAAAACCCCGCACTCCTCCCCGATACCGGACTCCTCAAACTCCATGTCGTTGCCGCTGTGTATTACGGTGTGTCCCGGTCCTTACGGTGTGTCCCGGTCCTTACGGTGTGTCCCGGTCTCGTGCCTAGATGCCTGAGCAGTCGGCGTGTGCGCGCTCTGATAGTATTTACCGAATACGTGCCAAATGCATAGACAGCGTCGCTCTTTAAAACATAAACTCAGCTGACATTATTGTTTGAAATAAACAGTCAGGACCACTTTTGTAGAGGAAACCGGCCACCATAACTGTTACCACATAAACGAATCAAACATCTTGGACTGACGAAACACGTGGTACTCAACGCTATCGGGACATCGACTACCTTAAATCGAACTAATCCATTAGGTCAATACGCCAGTTATTTTCTGTTGTAGGAGTCTTTGATAAAGCAGTCTTCCTGAAAGAAACTGGTTTGATTAAAAAAACAACAAAAAAAAAAAACTACCGAGAGGTTCTTCGTCTTGCTGAAGCCATTGATGTTTTAGGCAAATGTGATATTCAGCGTTTGCTCAACACGTGGTGGGTAATGCGCCATTGTAATTGGTTATCTGAATCAATCGAGGGCTGTGATTGGCTGTAAGAGGACGTAAGACAGATTCCTCTCTCTTCTGGCTCCTGCATGCCTCCTGTCTCTGCCGTAGCAACTTTTCAGAAGTTGAATTATTCTTGGACCATTTTGCTTTGTTTTTCAGGATTGTAGGTTGATAATGAGCACTGCCATGACCTCCGCACCAGGTACCGTACAACAACGTGTGCATATTTGAAATCATAAATTTGGTGTTAGTTGTTTAATTTTGGGGGGTTTCCTCATTTATGTGTGCGTGTTCTTAGACTTGAAGATCGGCCAGAAGCTGAATGAGGGAAAGACGAAGCAGATTTTTGAGCTGGTGGACCAGCACGGTCTGGTTCTGGTCCAGTCCAAAGACCAGATCACTGCTGGGAATGCAGCGAGGAAAGACCAGATGGAGGGCAAGGCAGCCATCGCCAACAAAACGACCAGCTGCGTTTTCAAGTTGCTCCAAGAAGCTGGTAAGGTAATCAGTCCATTCAAAAGATAATCAGTTTAATGTGGGGGCTGGAGCAGTTGTTCCTACTTATACCGGCAACTTTCCCACATGCAGAGTGCATTAAAGCTAAAAATGCATAATTACTGGAGAATAATTACGTTTATTTGAACCCCCACATCACACATACTAGATTTGGTGGACTCCTAAAGTCCTCAGAGCAAGATAAGAGATCAACGAGGAACCTTTTGTATTCAGAAAGAAAGGCAACCTTTGGCCAGTTTCCCCTTTCTGTCATCTATTAGCTATTGGGAAACAGACCTCAGCCAGCTTCAGCATGCTTAGAGCATGTTTGTGTTTGCAGCCCTGGTTCTTTAATGGCTTTAATTTCCTCAATGAAAACAATCTAGATGTCTTTTAGTTGTAGTTAACACAACTAATTCTTTCAGCTCTACTGAGAACACATGATTGTGTCCTCACTTATTTGACCCAGCTTTCAAAATGAGTTTCCATTATGCTTTACTTAAAAACTGTAACCGTATCTAATATGCCTCTCATGCATGTGATATGCGAGCTAAGGCAGTGTCTTGTGACTATACCTTGCTGTGTATAGTTCATCAGAACGTAGCTTAACCGCATCCCCTCACTTCATTATCAGGACTTGAAGGTGATCAATGCTAAACTGAAAATTCTAGAATAGCTGACGTCTTTGAAGATCTGCCTTTACATTGTCAGCTGGGCTGTCACACAGTTGATTTTAACATCTGCCCTGTCTCTCAGGCATTAAGACTGCCTTTGTGAAGCAGCACTCGGACACAGCGTTCATTGCAGCTCAGTGTGAGATGATTCCCATTGAGTGGGTGTGTCGGAGGGTGGCGACCGGATCCTTCCTCAAGAGGAATCCAGGAGTTAAGGAAGGCTACCGCTTCTCCCCCTTGAAGATGGAGATGTTCTTTAAAGTGAGTTTGAGGCCTTGTCTTGATGCCTCCGATGAGGATTTCAAGTGCTGTAACTGGACTTGATTATTGAGTACGAAATGTTCTCTGGTGTAGGATGATGCCAACAATGACCCTCAGTGGTCAGAGGAACAGCTGCTGGAGGCCAAGTTCTCTCTGGCTGGGCTCACTATTGGCCAGTGTGAGGTGGACATCATGAATCGCAGCACTGTGGCCATCTTTGAGATTCTGGAGAAGGCCTGGGCCACTCAGAACTGCACACTGGTGGATATGAAAGTATGCGGAGCAGTGCTGCCCTCTGCTGCTTAATTTTCTATCCTAGTGTGACCTCTGTTCTGCTGAGCACTTGTAGCCTCAAAACAATTAATGAGTTTTTTTTGTTCATCATGCTCATAGATAGAGTTTGGTGTGAATATAAAGACTCAAGATATTGTCCTTGCTGACGTGATCGACAATGATTCGTGGAGGCTGTGGCCAGCTGGAGATCGAAGCCAGCAGAAAGATAAGCAGGTCGGCACTGTTTTCTGTCTTGATGTTTGCTGAATGGATTAAGATCAAGCTGAAAAACCTTGGCGTCCTCTCTCTCTAGGTGTACCGAGACCTGAAGGAAGTTACTCCAGAGGCAATGCAGATGGTGAAGAGAAATTTTGAGTGGGTCTCTGAAAGGGTCCAGGTAATCCCCAGCAACTCTTGTCATCAGGAGGACAGGCTTTTGGCTGCTGTTTGCCTTTGAATCAACAGTTTTACTAACACATTTCATCATCAACTTCACCTCTAATTCAAAAATTGTGTGTATTTTTAGAAAGGGGTTAGTTGCTTCTTTACAGGAGCTGCATTTGTTTTTGTGCATCAGTAATTATTTTGAGATTCATGATCAGTTCTACAAATTCTCTTACAAATGAAAAGTTGAATATATGAGAAATTCAGTGCACTCAGGGGTTTTGCTGTTGCTGTTATTTGTACTAGTATGACCAGTAGCTTATGGAGGTTAATGCTTGATTAAAGCTTAATTTATCAGTTCTTCTAGAGTCTTCTTCCAGTGATTGTCACATTTAGTGACAGTGGCTGCTCCCAGGCTCAAGTTGCATAGTCTAATTTTAAGTGGACAAATAATGGGGATTGCATTGCGTCCCTAGCTACTGCTGGAGCCTCAGGCCAGGGGCAGGGTGGTGGTTCTGATGGGCTCCACCTCCGACATGGCCCACTGTGACAAAATCAGGAAGGCATGTATGTCCTATGGAATTTCCTGCGTCCTCAGAGTCACGTCGGCACACAAAGGTCCAGATGAGACACTGCGCATCAAAGCAGAATATGAAGGTGTGCTTTCATGTTAAACATTTTAAAATGATTGCTTTCATAGGGAGCAGATCTATCATGTCATAATGTGTCTACGTTTTTCCTCAGGCGACGGCGTACCTACTGTGTTTGTGGCTGTAGCTGGGAAAAGCAATGGCCTCGGTCCGGTGATGTCAGGAAACACAGCTTATCCTGTCATCAACTGCCCACCTCTGACTCCAGACTGGGCAGCACAAGATGTCTGGTCATCCCTGCGTATGCCAAGCGGTAAGCAGAGCTCTTATTGTGTGTTGTCCTGAACTTTTTCGCTGTACGAACTGAGTGTTCCTTTGTTTTCTCCCTGCAGGTCTTGCCTGCTCTACAGTCATCTCCCCGGAGGCTGCTGCTCAGTTTGCAGCACAGATCTTTGGCTTGACTGATCACCTGGTGTGGTGCAAACTGAGGGCCTCCATACTCAACACCTGGGTATCTCTCAGACTAGCTGACAAGAAGCTGCAGGCCTACAACTTCTGAGATGGCTCAGACCTCTTGAGTCTTGTTTCTAGGGCTTCGTTTTGTCAGATTCATTTTGTTTACCATGAAAAAACCTTAACAGTAGATGTAATGTATATGTACTTTCTCACACTGGAATCATTCCATTAAAAAGCTTCTTAATTAAATGCATCTCCGGTTTTTCAGAAAGCTATCTTGATGTGTCATAGTAGGAAAACCACAGGTGTAATTGATAACATTTTAGGTGAGTCAGTTCCAGAGCCCTGAGAGTTTACTGGGACATTTCATTGAATTAACCCATTGTTTCACTTTTTGCTTTTATGACAAGTCAAAATGTCTGCTGTGGGGAAAAAAAAAAACATACTTCTGCACAGTTTTTGAAAATAACATTTCAGTTAAGGCAATAATTGAGACATTTTGTTAAAAGAACATATACCAGTAAGTTTGTACTTTCTTTCCAGAAGTCGAGACCATTTTCTAGCGTGTTCAGCTTAGTAATATATCACATTTTACATCTATGTTCCTGTCGGGACACACTGTCCACAGCAAATAGGCCAACGAACTGTAACAAGCAAGTCACAACATTAATGAACATGACAAAAGCAAACCAGAAAAAAACATTCCATATGATAAATGAACTAAATAGAATAAAATGCCATTCTGAGCAAGTGTTTTTTAGTTTTGCATTGTGCCATATGGTTTAGTAGCCAAATGAGATGTTCAGTGATGGGGTGCCACACAAGAGAAAGCTCTGGTGCCAATTCTAGCAGGTTTAAAGTCATTTACAGACATCACATCTGCTGAAAGTATGGTTCAGAGAGTATGAAGGAGATAAGTGAGGAGAATTTTAAATCTATCCTGTAGGTCACAGAGCCAGTGAAGCTGGATGGCCATGGGTTTATTTGGTCAGTGGATATATTTTGTGAGAATTTTCAGAATTTTGCAAGTGTAATTTTGGAGCCAGTATTCCAGGTTTATTAAGTTTAAAAAAAAGATTTGTCAGCCAAATATCACGGAGACAGGTGGTGAGGGTATCTGGAGGGAGAACTGGTTTCTTCTACTGGGTATAGTCCAGGTAGCAGTGACACTGAATGACATGGTGATGAGGCAAAGGAGGAGGAGATAAATAATAAGCAGAGTGGCCCCAACTCTTCCTGTGTGACTGTGGAGATCTCAGAGTGCACAACTAACAGGATGAAAACCATTGGTGAACAAGGCCATAATCTCCAACACGGTAGGCATTCTAGGAGTAGCTGATGGGATATAGTATTGAATGCAGATGAGATCTGAAAGAATGAGAAAGGATAACAGACCATGGAGGAGGTCATTTGTATTCTTGAGCAGTGCAGTTTCTCTGCTGTGCTGTGAACCAGTTTTTTGTTTGTTTTTTCTTAGAATAGGTGACAGTCATCAGTGGAGGCGAGACTACGCTAGCTGTCAGGTGTAAGACAGGCAGGTAGGTATTGATTGGATTTGTAGGTATGGAGTCCAGATGACAAGTTGAGGAACGTTATTTGCTTTGGAGCACTGAGAAATTCCTTTCAGTTGACAGGCTCAACCCAGGGTATCCAGGATGATCAGGGTAAACCACTTTACTAAAAAGCAAAACATCAGTGGAAAGGTTTTATAAGCTGCTGTATATGGGAGCATGATTAACTTATTTACTGCGGAGAACAGAGTTTTATTGTTGGCTTGCACCAGTGAAGTTGGCGCAGTACCCGTTTTGGCAGCAGTATGTGTATTTTTATAGTGCAGGATGTGATTAGGAGAAGAGATCTATGTGTACGATAAGACTTTTTTAATAGCTGCTCCAGCCTGTGGCCCATGGTTTTTAGTTGGCGGAGCTTAGATGTGAACAAGAAGCAGTGTGAATAATAATATATCCCTTTATTTCATAAGTAGGCTCTGTTATTTATTTCTCTAAATCCTACAGTGGATGATGAAAGTAGCAGCAAGAAAAAAAGTCCAGTATCCACCATTTTGTCTGTTAAACACAAGTACATCAAAGGCTGTTGTTACCATTAAGGGCAGAGATTCAGTCCTTCACTATTATATCCAGGAATGTGATATTTTTTAAATAAATAGTGTGATTCTACATATTAAATGTGACTATGATAAATGGATACCATTTTGCTAAATTAAGGTGCTTAATATTTCTCCTTGAAAATTACATCCTGGTAGTGTAACAAAGGCTTGGAAGCAGAATTTAGGTTATAGTGTAGGGAGATAAAATGTACATAAAATATAAAGGAACACGTGAATAAATAGACAAAATAGGAAAAAAGAGATAAAGGTATTTATTTATTGGCTATCTTAACTGTTTGTGTGGGGAGTTGCAGCAGAGGACTTTGGACCATGGTATCTGCTATAGCTCAGATTTGTGCCAAAGTGAGTTTTTCAGCCTGTGATTTTATCATTGCAAAGAGCTGCAGATCATTTCACCCGAAGAGAGATCAGATTGAAAATCAGAAAAATGTTGGTCAGAGTTTGGCGTGATGACAGTGGCTCAGAGTCACGCACATAGATTTGATGACCTTTTCAGTGACCTTTTTCATTTGAAATTTTACTCTTAATGCACATTTTACCAACAACTGCACTGTTTTACAAATTCAGATGATGATCAGAGTTGATTTGTAGTTATGTGCAGGCCCTTGCAACACCCAGAGAAACTCCTGCTTATATTATAACAACCCAACAGCCTTCAGGATGAAAGTGTAGCCAAAGTTCTCTCTTATAAAATGCTGAGTGCATAAAATGCACGTACAAGTCATCTGAGCAACATATGAGCTAGAGTGGAGAGCTGCTTATCATTTCTCTTTTATCTGCCATTTTAACCACATTCATGTATTTTCTTTAGCAGCTCGGGACCTTATCTTGGCCACTTGAGGGAGCCTGTGGCTCATGTTGACTATCTCAAATCTTAACCCTCCAATCCGATCCAGCAGTTGACAGCCAAGGGAATGAGTCAGACCATCATGCCACCATTTTATTATTATTATTTTTTACTTCTATAGCACAGTTCTCACTCTGATAACAACTGATGGGTGTAACGACCTATGGTGTGCTAAGTCTTTGATCATGTGTGGGTGGAAGTGGGAGGATGGAAGTGCTGAGGGTAGAGAGTGATACAGATGAGTGCAGGGAAGCTGATATCTGAAAAAATCCTCTGCATGTTAATTTGGAATTTGAATTCTATGGTAAAAACAATACAATTTATTGTGCTAGAAGTGGACTCTTATTGCTGAATCAATATGCAGCATAAAAAGTGAAGGTAAAGCCATAGAGCTGAAATGGACATAATGTGTACATCTCAGTGAAACCAAGTCTCCTTGACAACCGTAACATGGCAACCATCACTCTATATACAATGATCTCTTCAGCTCTCCTTCTCTTATTACCACACTGTGACCACTTTTTTTTTAAAATCTCTTTAATCCCTTCTCTCCTCGCTGGCCTTTCACTGTCCTACTGCTGGACACCACAACAGCTTTGAGTAAATGAACACAACATGAATCATCAGCAAAGTCTGACCCACTAAAGAATTATGAATACATATGGTCCTGACTTTATCCTGTGCCTTGGTCATTGTTAATTTTGACTGCTTCTATCTTAATAAGAAACGTGTACCTAGTGTAATAACAAAACCCAGTAAGGCAGATTTGCAGTTCCTTTCTCAAGACTCAAACATTTTATTTATCTCTCATAGCTATGAGGGTGGTAGTTAAGCATCAGAACTACAGGTTATTTACACGTGTTCTACAACAGTATATAGTAATATTTGTCTCTTCTTTGTTGTTTGGTGTTTTGTACAAAACTTCTATACCATCATATATGAACATCATTATTAACACTGTTGTCATTCTCCTTCTTTTCCTCTGCTGATGATCACTCACAACATTGTCCTGCCATCACTCTGGCACCTTCACACTCACAACCTCCTCTCCAGTCCACTAATTGCTGCATCACTCCCTGTTCCTCTCTTTGTTGATATACTACATCACTTCCAGCTATCTCTGTTAACAGTCTTAACCATTAACCTCCCTGCAGTGCCCAGTCACAGCGCCCCCAGGTCGTGGCATGAGCGGGACTTCTGCCGCAGGAACTTGCTCGCTTCTCGCTCTCGTGGGTATCGGGGCACCAGGCTGGACAGGAAGCGTTTGGCACGAGAGGTGATGCTTTCACGTTGGCCTCCTCCACTCATGTCCTCTGCACTGGTCCCCGGGGGCCATGGGGACTGGCCCCTGGCTAGCCGCACTGCACACTCAAGGACCTCTGGGGTGCGGTGGTCCAGAGAGGCAGAGATCTCCAGATACAGACAGTTGAAGAGGGCGGCACTGGACATGGCCTCTGAGGGAGGAGATGGATCAAACAAGATGAATAAAGGCAGCTGGCAGGGCTTTTAAGGAGCATTTACCTATCTAGAAACCTGACCAAACCCACAGGAATAAGCTATCGCCTTTTATCTGTAAGGGTTTTGATCTCTCTTGCTTTGATCCAATTGTGCAAAAGGCACTTGCAAGCAATTACAAAGAACCCATTAACCAATTTATAGTATAAAGAGGGCAAATGGTTTGGGTTTTTTGAGACTTATGGTAGGACTGATGCTATGCAAAAAGCTAGGGTTGCTACAATATCCTCTGGTACACAAAGACATATCAGCCACTGTAAATGTGTCAGAAAGGCACAGACACATGATAAAGAATAAAAGCAGAAAAACAAGAGGTAGAAAGGATGCTGCATCTGTTTTTTTTTCTACAAAAACACTATAACAAATGTCTTATTGTTACAAGAAATGAAGGCTGACAAGAACACCGTTAAAACTGTGCTAGTTCTGTCACAAGGTTTCTGTATTGTTTTATTTGTCTGTGCTTTTCTCACCGGTTCCCTTGGGAAAAAGTCATATGACCAATCACAGTTCGGCAATATTTAAATCTAAATGTCAGGACGGGTATTTTGCTCTATCCTCAGGGTTACTGACACAGTCATATAGGTTTATAGAATAAACACATGTAATTATTATAAAACTTTCAATTATTTCAGTGTTGTTTTTGAAGAGATCATTTTTGGCATGGCGGACATGTTCAAATGCTACAGTACCTATGGGCATCCCATGCTGAGGAGAGGAAGCCAACACTGTACTCTTTAGCTCTGTGACTGGATGTCACCTTGGGAGTCATAGTTCACTTTTCCACATAAGTTTTTATGTCCACATGCTTGTACCTTTGACATTTTTTAAATCAAAGAACCATGGGTGCCCAAAATAACTCATCCCACTTGGTAACTCTGTACTCTTAATTCAAAATAAAAATAAGTTTTCAAAACTTTAACTTTTATAGCTGCTTATGTAGCCATGACTATTTAATACTGCATTGCATGTAGGCAGTGTCGTAGTACAGAAATGCGGACAGGCAGCGCACTCCCAGAGAATGCTCCCCTGTGTAACTGTGGCTCCCCTCATACTCCCACACCGCAGTGAAGCTAAAGCATTTCCATTTACATTTTCACATACTTCACCCCTACATTACTGTTTACTGCTGGAGATAAAGAGCTGAAAATGTCACTGCCGACCGTGAAGATGAGTTGCCACAACAGAAGGAATCAATAAAAGAGGTGAGGAACAAAAGATCGAAGTGGAAGCGCATCTTACCTTGGGAGGTAACCTCACGTGTGCGAACCAGGTCACTCTTATTACCAACAAGGATAATGGGAGTTTGGGGCTGAGTCTCTCTCAGGAGAAGTCGGAGTTGAGCAGTGCGGTGGAAACTACGTCTGTCAGTCACTGAAAACACCAGGACACACACCTCACACTGCAGAGATGAAAGGTCCTGAGGGACACACACACAGGCAGGCACTGCATGTTACACTAGTGTAGGTGCTGTTTCACAATACTGTGAGGAAACTGCAAGCTAAATCAGTGTACCTCTATGGTATGATAGCTTTATTTCAGAAAAGTGTTAGTGCATGCTAACGTGTGAGAACATCCTCACACTAGATCTAGAAAGCTGTGTGTGGGGTGCTGAGGCTGGGGGCACGGTCTCAGAGAGGGGTGCACATTTGAAATACATGTAAAAAGTTAATTAAACCCCTGGTTCTATGAAATAATAAACCATACATTATTAAACATCTAACTGTTTATTTTGTGTAAAAATGAGACACACATAGTACTTTCTTTATCTAACTTTAGCTGCGCTCACTCCTCATTTCCTATCAGTCAGGGACATCGCTGCTGCACAGTGGAAAACTCACTCTTGTGTCACACGCTGAGCACAAACTCTTTAGTTGTCATTTCTGTCATGGACACTGCTGACCAAACCTTTAGATTGTAAGCATGAAGTCAGGGGAGAAACAGCAGACAAAAGACTACACTAAATCTAAAATCCTGAGTGGTTTATTGAGACATTACTACTGTAGATGGCACTAACTACGATATACCTCCCATTTTAGTGACATACACACCCAGTCATCCTCCCCAAGCAGCAAAGAGACAAAAATCTCTAAAAATAAAAGTCCCTGAGTAAATCCTTCATAGAGAATGGACTACATTTCAGTGTGTCTTGAATTAGAGCTGCTGAGGTTCACTGACTTTTTATTTAATTTACATTATATCTAGAACTGAGCATGGACCAAAACCAACATTTTCTCTGTAATGATAGATATGACAGATATAACACTACATCTGCATAAGCGAATTCCCTATAAGCTGACCAATACTGCAGTCTCTCACAACAAATGTAATTCATTATACAGAGAGTAACACATAAGATCACGAAAGACAGATTGTGTCACAAATGTGTGTATTCAGTGTTTTTCACACATCCACCTAAATCAGAAATATTAATGCAATCATTTTGCACATCTGCTCTGTGGGCAGCTCTCTCTCTCTCTCTTCCTCTCTGTCTCTCTCTCACTTACATCCACACAGATGCCTCTACATTGCTCTCAAGGGAAAAGTGGAATAAGTGTACAAAACAACCTGATAATGAGCTTTCCTCTGTCAACCAGATGCAGATGCAGCAGATGTATCACTGTATTTTTGCCACAGTGTCAAGAACAATGTCAAGAACAATAAACAATGCAATGTCCTCCAGATCTACAGTATGAACACATATAAAGTGTGCTATATATGCAGCATCAAAATCATGCAGTTTGATTTTCTTGTGTTTTATTTTTTTACTTGGACAATATATTACAATTCAGTCACAATATTACAATGCAATATATGGATGCTGTCGGTTTGTCTCAAAGACACTCAGCTAGAAATCTCGATTTCCCAAACATATCTCCTAATACAGTAAAAGCATCACCCTGTGCAGCACACAAAATGCTTCAAATAAAGAAAATCAAATGAAGTCAAGGATTCAGTAGCCCTCAGGCCTGCTGGCAGTAACAGTTCTTTATATATACATGGCAAAATGCTGCTGAGCACGCTGTATACAGCAGCAGAAAGAGCTCACTGGCCTAATGAAGGTGCAGGGAGCAGGGAGTGTGGGAACAGTGAAGTGTTTGGCTCACCTGTCGCCAGTTGTCATAGATAATGATGGTGCTCTCCTCATCATCCACAGTGACTGTGCGCACATAGCCCTCTCCTAAGGACAGGGAGAGTAGCAGTTAGGTGTCAGATGGGTGCTGGGATTTATTTACCTGCTGCTCACTGTGACCACTGAATTAATCCTGTCAGAGAAACAGCTTTGTACCATCAGAATCCACAGATGCAGTCCTGTCCATGTCCCCTGCGAGGGCAAGGGCCAAGGAGGTCTTTCCCACACCGTTCTGCCCCAGCAGGGCGATCCTTAAACGCCCATCAGGTCTGCCCTCCACCACCACAGTCAGAGTGTCATCCAAGGCTGGACTGAAGCTGATGGATGCAGCAGAAGGTCCAGCTGCACCCGATGTCCAGTCACAGTCATCATGGACAGCTTCTTCTCTTCTCAACTGGTGTTTAATTGGCAGAGGAGTGCTTCCTCTGCGAACAGTAGGTGTGCTGGACAGAGTCATACTGTCACACTGGAGGAGAGATTGGTGGACACATAAAATATATAGCATATAAAGCTAGTCTCTAATTAAATGGTGCTTTCCATATACCACTAAAATACACAGGACCCCAGCTTTTGCTATTGATGTTACATAAAACTGGGTTTGGCAAGAGACCAACTGGTCAAAATCTACAGGTTTGATCCCTGGCTTTTCCACGCCCCATATCAGTGTCCTTAAAGACACGGAACCCCAAATTGTTTCTGGGGGCCAACACCATCAATGTGTTAATGATTATATGGCAGTTTTGTTGCCACTGGTGTCTGTGAATGGGCAAATAATATAAAGCACTTTGACTGTACTTCAAAAGTGATATATAAGTAGGCTACTCATCCATTTACCATCAGATTTTCAGTGCCTCTTAAATGCCCTCACAGGTTAAGTAGTAAAGTGTCCCTTTACACCTGCAATGTACACAAAATATGGCAAACCTGTTAGCACACATTATGCAAATATTTACACATCCAGCAGATATAGAGCAGCATGATATATTTGTATTGTTCTTTTTTCCAACTGATGACTGAAAAAGTCAACTAGCCACCCCCCTGTCAGCTCTGTTTTTGGTCTCTATCAACTGCTGAGGTAAAATCTGTCTTTTTAGCAGCAATATTGCTCCAAAATGAAACATTAATGGTTTGGTGAAAGTTTTTCAAGCCCTCTGGCTGAAAACAGATGGGCCAACTCCACCTACTATGGCTGAAAACCATAAACCATGCTGATGGGAGTTGTGAAAGTGAACCAAAGCAGTAAAGTTGAAAACCAAACAATGAGCTGAAAGATGCTAAAATGCTTCACGTGAAGGTAATACATTCTCTGTATTAGTCCAATTTATTATTATTATCAATAATAATAAACGAAACATTATTCCCAAATTGGATTTAGGCATTCAAATTGGAAACAGAAGTCTGTACCACCACCTACATACAGTATTTACGCGCGCGCACGCACACACTCACAGGGAAAACTGATTTTCTGACAGTTCAATAAACCATCCACCCATTAAGCTCACCGTATCAGAGCACCAAACATCAGCCCCTGCCACGTTCCCCCCAGCCTGATTGGCTAATTGAACACTGGATATTGGAGCTGTTTGCCCCGAGCTCGCGCCACCCCGGGCATCCTACCTTGGTCGTGTTCTCCTCGTTGTTGAGCCTGTCTTCGGGCACATCTGTCGGCATCTGCAAACTGGAATCAAGCGACCGGAAATAAAGACCCCAAAGGACACAGAACACGCCCCTCCTCGCTCCCCACTCCACAGTCTTTATGAACCCCAGCCCAAAATGCCTGGGCTGATCTCTCACCTGTCACACGGCTCTCGGCAACTACAAAGTAAGCACGGTCTCTCTCTCTCTCTCTCTTCCTCTTCCTCTCTCTCTCTCTCTCTCTCCGCTTTCTGCCTCACTCTCTCTCTCTCTCCTGCACACACTCTCCCTCAGTTTGTCACTTTATATCTATCTCTATTATCACTCTCATTGTGTCTTTCTCACGTGAAGGCTTAGGACCAGGTCTGCAGTCAGCAACGTCATTCACCACCACTCTCCAAACTGACTTGACACCTTCTATTATTATCATTCTTATTCTTATTATTAATGTTATTATTAGTGTAGAAGAGACATTAAAGTAGCCACGCCAAGGACTCAGCTGGTGTTTGCAGCAGGTACAGCTCAGTAGTGAACGTGGAGTGGTGATGCATTAAGCATCAGAGAGCAAGAACTGTAGAAAGATGCTCAGTGTCACGAAGCTGTCATTGACCTCTGAACGACAGAGGCAATGTGTAAACCAGCCACGAGGGGGCAGCACGACACAAGTCTGCTCCACACTAATAGGCGTTTTGTTTGTGCGTGCGTCCTTGGGGGTTCTATGTTTAAAGCGTGTCATTGGAGTATTCCCGCTGTAGAACTGTGGCTTGACAACATACTTACCTGACTACCAATCTATCAGTCTCTCGCCTTTTTCCTCTTGTGTCCTGTCAAAGGCACACATGGCCTTTTCCTCGACAGACTCAATGAGATTGTATTAAATTAAGTCACTTCTAGTCCCTGATCTGAGGAATGTATTTGAACATGTTTTCTGTCAAAATGTGACTGGGGCCATAAGCAGTGGTGCGTCCCTCCCACACAAAACCACAATAGACTCCGGCAGTGCGCAGCCAGGGCGCTATTATAGCCCTAATCCTGCTTCTATTGTCCAGGCCAAAGAGAGAGTGAGAGATACAGATAAGGGAGGTAGAGCTGAAGATGAGGTCATCCCAAACAGTGTAACACCCAGGATCACTGCCTCATTATAGAGGGGCAGAGATAAAGAGAAGGATGGAGCAGGAAACAGGGTTGCAGAGCGAGCTGCACAGAAAAGGCCCGCAGAACACTGAAAGTGGGAGATGCTCAGATAGATGAATGGAGCAAAGCTGAGGTTAACACACATGAAAGGTGCAGAAAAACACACCACAAACAAGCCCTGTTTGGTAAAGTACTTTGTTTATTTCATATGCTTATGAAACCACACTACAACAGGAGCAGGAAACCATGATAATGGCCATTGTTTTTATAATGATGTTAATTCTAATCACAACAGTAGGAAAGTAAAAATACACACTAATGGAATAAAACCCATAAAATAATTAGAATCAGTACATAAATAAACAATAAATACTGAATAAATAGGTGAATCAATAAAAGAACAGGTCATTTAACCTACACTCAAACAAAATAAATAGTTCTAATGCATGATTTCATGGGACAGTTAAGGAGGTGTCTTCATGAAGAGATTATTTGCATTTTTTCAATCCCTGCACCCTTAATTTTCTGTTGCAACTGGAGTAGTCAACAGTACCCGAGTCCACACTTGCTGTGTGATGCATCAATACAGTGAATTTCCGTGTTACAGAAGTGTTCGATCTGCTCTTGTCTGGAGAAATGGACAAAACCACACAAATCATGCCACACTCGTTTACACTGGCTGCCACTGGTTTCCTCGTCTCTTTCACCATATGCAGTAGTTTTAGTAAGCACACTACCAGCTCAATGCCTTTGTATGTAACAACCCATGTTTGAGAGCAAACTGTTACTGCGAATGACTGAAAGTCACCATTTCCAACTAGCGAAAGGTAGATTTTGATCAAACACAAAAGCAATATGCCTGAAAGGTATCTATCTTTGTACATTCTTTAATCTATAATTATTTATTTTACAAAGAATAACAAGTCTTGGTTAGCTTCAACACTTTGGTAGGCAACTGTGAAATATTAGCTGGTGAATATTGAACTGCATGCCCAAGCCCCTATGACTTCACATCCAGCACCACTGCACTACTCAGAGCCCTGCAGCTTTTAGCAGCTTATTATAAAAATAAAACAAAACTATGGTTTGAGCCTCAAATAGCCATTTGGAGAGTCCACTGTAGCTATATAATTTTGCCAGCTAGTCTGCTCAGAAGTGTCAGGGACTATTGATACATTTTTAAAAATCTTTTGTTCCACTTTACTCGTATTTGTCCACTGTTAAACTGATATCACAAGCAAAAGGTCTCAGAGAGCTCTCAGCCAGCTTTTGTGCAACTATCATTCACAGTGAAGTAAAACCAAGTCGACAAAGTAGCCTAGAGTCTTGACAGTCAGTTCCCCTCTAATTCAAGGGTAAATTTCACAGTTGTACAGCCCAAAAGCTTCTTGCTAATGCCTCTCTTTCACTTTATCTATTACACACACACACACACACACACACACACACACACACACATGCACACACATACACAGTCTGATTACTCATCAGTGATTGCTCCATTTTGGCTGGTCCCCCCATGATTAAACTCAGAGGAAGTACTCTGGGGGTGGTGAAGGTGGCTTGCTGGTGCGTGGTGGTGGGGCGTCGACAGCGGTGCAGTGGCTTGTGCTAAGGAGCTTCTCATAGCGAGCCTTGTAGGCGTCTCTCTCCCTCAGCACTCGAGTCAGCTCACACTGTAGCTGTTCCAACTGAGAAGGAAAAAAAGACAAGATGATCATTTCTTTGTGCTCATTTCAGTGATTATTCAGGACATATACTGCCAGCAACAGAAGTCTGGGGAATTCAGACTGGGGTTATGGTGTCAGACACTGAATGTTTTGGCTGCCATCCTCTCTTTCTTGTGTCAGAATGTCCTAATTAAAGCTTGCTACTGGATTTAGATTTAAGTTTGGAGTCAGATAAGGCTTGGATGAGCACATACTGAGAGAAGAGACATGAAGCTTTTCAATTTGTGTGTGTACCTGTTGTGTAAGTACATGCTTCTCAGACTCTAGAGTGTGGCGGTGCTGTAGGCGCTTGTAGCGGCAGGACTGGGCATAGCCACGGTTCTTTAGCGTGCGGCGTTTCTGCTTCAGGCGCACCACTTCATCCTTACTCACTCCACGCAGGTGTCGGTTGAGCTCACGCACTGACAGGCTCACCAGCTGCTCATCAGAGAAACGCTCGTTCGCCCCGCACTGCTGAACAGATGGAGAAAGCACACAGAGAGGATATGCTGTTCCTCTGTTAATTGGCAATGAGACACATGCTGGAAGTGATGAAGTGTGAAGAGTTAGAGGAGTGTGAATCCTATTTGTCCAAGATTCAAACTTAAGCATATCACCGCAGTGTGACTGGTGGACATGTGATGTGTCATGTTGGTTGTATGTGTGTGTGTCAGGGGGCACATTTCAGCGCCACATGCCCATAATCTGTCATGTAATCTGACTAAGTGTGGGTGACAGTTATCAGGATTACACACAGCAATAATAGCAGATTATATCATAAGCTCACACTGTGCTCCATATAGAGATCCACCCAGACATCTTGATTGACCAGAGCACAGATTACAATGTTTATCTCCCCATTAAACTTAGACTTTTGAAATAAAACACACAAATAGCCCCTTCTTTTTGGCATTTATAACTATATGAATATTTAACAAATTACTTAGAACATGCTATAATGTTGTTGTGAGCAAATACAAGTGTTTGTCAAAAGCCACAATTTCTCCTGTGAGTACCCGTGACTGGAGACCAGTGTATAACTTATTAAAGCACAATTGTAATAATATAAAATATGTCTTCATAGGAGAAGGTGTCATTGCTGACAAATAGTGCTCATTTAAAGACACTTAAAAATGTATTCATATGTGCTTACAGCTGCATTACGGTCTGTTTTAAACCATGGTATACATGTTTACATAGTGGTTAGAAATGATAAATAATGTAGGTGGATAAAGTATTACTGAAAAATATGTTTTCAGGACTTGTGTCCTCAAAGACAAAAATTTCTCTTTGGTATGTAAGTGGTCATTAAAGTGACACTTCAGATAAACATTCATTCATTCATAAACATTAATAATCATGGTCTAATGTTGTAATCCTAACCCTTCACTGCTTGTTTGCTCACTCCTTCTGCCTAATGTTGCCACAGTTCTCTCCCTTTGCTACAAGCTTGTGCCACTTAATCTGGATGCATAAGTGTTGCCCTGTGTACCTGATTAACTTGTGGGTGGTGATGATGGTGATGGCTGCCATGCATGGGGTGATGTGGATGGTGCTGATGATGGTGATGCTGGTGGTGATGAAGGCGACTCTGGGGGCTGAGTGGTTGTGAGTAGGAACCAAAGGTGGTGGCTGTGTTGGGGTGCGAGGGAGGAACAGATGAGAGGAAGACAAGTGGACGATGACACATGTCTGTCCCTTTGGTGCAGGAGATGTCACCTCCACTGTTGCTGCTGGAGTCGCCATTGTTGCTGCTTGAACTCTGAGAAAGACTCGGAAACTGAAGAGGTAGTTGAAGAGGACGGAGCATAAAGATGATGGCAGCACAGGGCAGAAGATAAACGTCAGCTCTTTCACCACTACTTGTAAATGACATAGTATTATCAAGGGGTAGAAATAACAAATGGCTACCTGTGAGCTAACAGCTGCAGCAGCTGAGTTCAGCAAAGCCTCCACAGCATCCTCACAGCCCAGAAAGCCATTCACTGACCCCCTCTCTCTATCCCCTCTCTCTGGTACTCCTCCCAAGGCTCCCAGCAGAGTGCCGGGCCCCGCCACATCACCTCCAAACTGTTGCTGAAGTGCTGCCAGCCAAATCAGGTCCTCCAGTGAGGCTGGGGTGGGACACTGAGGCCCGCCATGGGCCGGGCTTTCCTCCATATTACCCTGAGAGATAGAGCTGATGCCGGAGGTGAAGCTGTTGGATATGGAGAGGGGGAAGGAGATGGAGGAGGATGATGAAGAGAGGGAGGAAGAGCCTGACGGTGGCGGATGGGCATCACTGAGTGTCGGTGATGGTGGCAGTGAGTTGTAAGGGCTGGAGCTCAAGCTGGAATCCTGTGGAGGTTGGCCTGTGTACGGAGAGCTGGAAGGGTCATGGGAGAGACCAGATTTGGGATACACACCTGGAGGAGGGAGCAGAGGAGCGTCAGATTTCACCTCAAACTTGAGGAGGTCAAAGTCATTCAGGTATTCCATGGCCAGAGGGCTGGGGGGGAGAGAGGGCATGGGGATGGGGGGCGAGGACATCGTGTCTGCTGTTGCCGCTGGTGTTGGAGCCTCAACAGGGTTTTGCCGTCTGTCAGGATTGTTGGAAAGCCCACTGCTCTGCCTCAGTGAAGTTCATAGACAGCAGCAGGGGTGATGTCAGGAAGTAGACCGGTCCCTGTGTCCTTGCCTCTGTTTCTTTTGCTCTGAAGAAACAAAGATGTGGAAAGAAGGATTATAGGATACAGGGACAAGAGAAAAGTTCAGCTATACTGGCTAATTAAATGGTAGCACCTTCTAATTAGCCAGTATAAGGGGTAATAACTGATAATTACTGGTTTTATTAAATTTTAGTACTCAGTGGACAGTGAGACTTTTAATAGACCATGCAGCAGAACCAGAGGTGTTGATATGGAATTACAGGTATTGTTCCTCATCAAAACCTAGTGCCTCCATTATTCACAATACAATGTGGCTGCAGAGAGTTGAAATTCTGATGTGTTATGCTTGTAGTGGCTAGCATAGCTGTGAGCTGCTAGCCTCAGGCAGAGACGAGGAGATTCGACTCATTGTCAGGCTGGTAGTCTTCAGCCCCATTAATAAAGCCATTCGTTAAATGGAACTAGCCCTTTGGTTAAAGTCATTCTATTATAATAGCAAAACATTTCAACATTTCCTGTTTGTATGAAGGCCTTGTGATGTTTTCCTGGTATTGCACACATGCAGTTTTAAAAATAATTCTTAGTCCAATTTGAATTGTGAGTCTGTTTGTGTGTTATGTAAAGACAACAATCTGCAGCTCATCTGCTCTGTTCATCATCTTATACACACATGTATAAGACTATAAACATATGCACACTCACATACATGTGCATGTTTGGTCACACATGCAGATGTTTGTGTCATGAATAGACAAAACAGGAAAATGTAGGTAAAATATTATAATTTGTTCATAACTGTGCTGTTTAACAAGTATATTTTCTGTCACCTCAGTTTATACATGACAACCCACGATTTCCACATTACATATAACATGTAATGAATCTAGAAAGATCTGACTACTGAACACACAACTGACTGAAGCACAAGAATCCAGAGTGCCTAATCATTTCTGACAGAAAGATCCACCAGTCTCAGGGACCAAATCCAATTATCAGCAGGTTCAGACTTTAATCCACAGTGTGATACTTTCTAAAACTAATCAAAATACATTTCTATACAGCCAGAAATGTTAAAAAATAGCATTTTTCACTGAAACTGATAATGACCATAAATGTATGTGTATCAAAATGTTAAGAACCTTTTCTTTTTGACCCAGTCGAGTCAGATTCAAGATCAAAAAACATTTGCTCCATAGAGAAATATACTAAAAGTTAGATGAACTTATGGGCTATGTTTTCAGGGTGACAGATAAGTTAAACACGAATCTTAAGTCAAAACAGTCAGACACAGTTGAGCTAACAGAAAAAAATAAATATCAGAGAAAATCAATGAAAGGTCCGATATTTTCAGCATGCTACAGCGGACAAAGAAAACTATAGAAGAACAAAGCAATTTCCTCCTAATTACGTGCCTAATTGTAGGCTTTCAAATTTAATTGTTATTATTAAAATGAACATCTAATTAAAAATCCACCTTTGCCTGTGCAGCTTATTAGTTTTGCCTCCTGTGGTTTAAAATGTATTGCAGAGGAAAGAAAACAGTGACATGGCTCCACAGAGGCCTCAATCTGGCTCTGGGCCCGAGTCACAGCCAAAGGCCAAAAGAGCAACAACACACACACACACACACACACACACACACGAGACAAATAAAATCAAATAGACCTTAGGTGAGAGATGTAACAGCCAAAGTGAATGAAGTGATCTTACCGTAGGTCATAGAGATGAAGGATGGTTACGAGCTCTTTTCCACATCCTCATCAAACACACACACATGCATCCAAAAATAATCGACTGACTAGATGACTGACATGTTTGGAAAGAGCCACAGAGGTGTGTGTGTGTGTGTGTGTGAGAGAGAGCGTATAGTACTTTGTCACTGAGTGTCACTGCCCTCTTTCTTTCTTTCCCCTCTGCTGCAAATCCCTGTTTGCAACAACCCCCCCCCCATCCCCCCATGTCCCTCTCATTGTATGTTCACATTCTCTGGCAATGTCTCTCTCTCTCTCTCCTTGTCTGTCTCTCTTTATTTCTGTTTCTCTGTTCTTAAATTCTTTGTTTCTCTCTCTCTCTGTTACTATCTCTCTCTCTCTCTCTCTCTCTCTGTCTCTCTCACACACATCTACAAATTCATCTCTCTCCCTCTGAGATGCATAATATTCCTTGTATAAAAAGTAAGAATATTTTACACTTGTTGGGCCAAGTTTTCTGGCCAGACACGCAAACACTCAAATGCACTGCCAGGCACATGAAGTATTTTGTTACACAGCAAATGGTGTAAGGTTCAGGCCATGTGCAGTTTTTACACACTACCCGGCACAGTAACAAGTAATGTTGACTGCTCACATTCAGTTTCTCATCACTGTGCAAAGTTTTGTCAGCCACTGAATAAAACTAAGCCTTAACGGTTCGACTGTTCTCTCTGTACTGCCTCACAGTGGCCATTCACAGCTACTGATAACGAAGATTCAGTATAGAAAAAAACTTGCTTTAGTTTAGCATTATAAGCTAGTGATGTTGAAAGTGCTTATTTAGCTCACTATAAAGCTTTGTAACGTACCTGTTTAATACCACAGATCCAATCATTTCTGTGAATACTATTCAGATTCTAGTCAGCACTCAAGATACCAAATCTGGCCACAAATGTGCATTATATGAGCTGTATATGTGCATTTCCATTTAATTTCTTTAGAAAGTCCCTTGGATGTGATTATTTTACCAGAGTGGAAAGAGCAGTAAAGATCATATTAAAAGTTGGAACAAGCTGTTGCAGAATATTAATGTCAGAACAAAACAAAGATACACTGACTGGAATGAAATTATAAAGTAGATACAACCTGAGATGACAACACAAGGCAGTTTGGGTGAAGAAGTGCTTACTTCTTATTCCTTATTTTGAAGTTTTTTAAAACCATAATTTAATTTATTGTGTTCTCTTTTATTTTATTTAAGAAAGCATCAAGGCTGGAAAATTAAACCCATGTTTATATGGCCTTTTAGGTAAAAACAATTTCTAGCAGGTGCAGAGATATTCAGATATGTTTCCAAATAAAATGTTAATTTAATATGGACATTTTATAAAAATGTTGGACTATGAAAATGTTAAACATAAAATTAAATACTACATCTAAATTATACATAAATTGTGTCAGCCCCAGAAGCTGACCAGAGCTTCTGTGCTTGGTTTGCTGTAGATTAATTTAAGATAATTTGATTATACACACATTTATTTATGAACATGAACCATGAAGGCTCAATATAAATTAAAATAGTAAATGTATTAAAACCGACACAGGGCTTCTCAGATAGCTGAAAATTCAATAATAAAGCCTTAAGGCTCTCAACATTTCAGTGCTTTGGAGGCACTTATTCCCAAACAAAGTTTCACTTTATCTATTGTAATAAACCAGTTGTCACAGTGAACCTGGGCCCTCCGTGGCACATGGGAGTCAGTGGGGGGGACATGACATACAGTGCATGTTTATTATGGCTAAAAAGCTGGTTTCTCCTGACTTACAGTCAGCTGCTAAAGGTCCAGCATTGTAGATCACACTATTGTCTTAAAGTTTTCAATATTTTCACAAAGGGGTTTATTTTTCCTTCTCAGAAATCACCGTGTCTCCACACACACACACACACACACACACACATCGTCTGAGTTCGAACCACAAATCTCTAAATTTATTGTTTGTTTTTTATTCCACTGATCATGAAAATGCATAACCAGCATTTCTCAATGATCCTTAAAAGCTAAACTTGTTAATCTCTCTGTCTTAATAGTGTCTCACTAAGGAATCAGTGAGTTAATAGTGCCTTCACAAATCTGATTTAGACAGTAAACAAAACCTTCAAGGCAAGCAGACATGCTGACTCATGGAAACAAGCACAAGGCTCATGAAGAGGAGTTTAAGGTTTTATTTCATTTTACCTCACAGTTTAGCAAAAATGTGAATCACTGATAAGCCATTTAACAGTTTCTTGTTTTAGTTTCTCTTCCTCTTTCTCTGTTTTAACCTCTCTATCTGTCCGTGATTTGTGTTTCCGGGGACAGATTAGCAGCTAAACCAACAGGGCCTCCTGTGAGGGTGAGGCACAAAGTGAGGGAGCAACACAAAGGAACTTACCTCATACTTCATGCCAAACACGCCACCACCCCTCCCGCATCTGCAGCCATATGCATGTGTCCTGCAGCCACCTCATATTCAGCCTGAGACTGTTCACTGTTCTTCTGCAGCCTTATTTCCATGCAGGGTTAGTTTGAAATAATTAGCCCTTTATCTGGTCCAACAACATGATCATCATAATGGGGAGAGTGGTGGAATTAGATGCTGAGTGGTTGTATTCGGACCACATGATGTACATTTCCTGCTGTATAGATTAAATAAACAATATATAATGATAGAGGTGCTGGTAGGCACATTTAGTTTCATCTGAACAGACCCAGACTAGCTGTTCCCCCAGTTCCAGTCAAATGGCTGTTGGTGATGGTGATGGTGCCATTTTCACCCTACAGACATGACAGTGTTGTTGGCTTTAGAGTGATGAAACAATTAGCTTAGCATAAAGACAATGACCGGTGGTTTTCAGTTGTATTTAGAGGTATAGTTTGACATTTTGGAAAATGTGCTTATTTGCTTTCTTTCTTGTATTGAAATTACAGAATATTTCTAAAATGTCACTTCCTATAACTTTTCATATTATCACAATGTGATATTTGAAGTTTTTGTATGGTTTTATACAGCTTTACACAGGCAAGCTGTTTCCCTGTTTCAGGTTTTACTACAAAGCCAAGCTAACAAGCCACTAGCTTAAATTTATAGGCCTAGTTAATGCACAGACATGCAAGAGGTATTGGGGTTAAAGTGAAGAAATGTTAGCTTAAGCAATGGGAAACAGCATGACTCTATCCAAAAGTTAAAAACCTCAAAACTCACAAGTACATTTGTAATTGATGCATTTATTTGATTTGATTTTGTATTTTTTACATGTAGATGCAGGTGAATCTTGATCTTAATGTTACATCATTGCCCAAAGCCCCCTCATTAGGCAGCTGACCTTTCATCAACCCCTTAACCCAGGTTGATATCCTCCAGCTTTTATCCTCTGAGAGGCTCTAAAGGCCCAGTGGGGTCAAACAGGAACTGCTGACATGGGAGAGACTCAGGCCGAGGCTAGACTATAAGCAGAGGTGAAGGTTTTTGGGGAAAAAGGACAAGGATAAAAAGAAATGAATCAGAGATTATAAACGGACAAAACAGAGTGTGGACAGATAGTGTGAGGTGGAGGCTTGTAGGGTACCACTGTCTCAGCCTTATCCCACAGATATGTGCTCTAATCCCGACTAACACTGTAGCAAGCAGCAAGCAGCAATCTTATCTGTCTCACCTCCTTCCCTCCTTGTGAGGATCTGTATCAGGTTTGCCCGGCTACACCTGCCTCTCTCACTTCCCTCACTCTGTTTTGGCTCCCTTACCCTGATTACACTACCTGGCACACCTGCTTCACTTCCCCTGATTATCACCAGCTACACCTGATTAGTTTCCTCCCTACTTATACCCTGCTCACCGTTCACTCCCCTGCCAGTTCTTTCTCGACTCTCAGGCCCGTCTTTGCTCTCATTATTTTTTGTCTACCAGTCGCATTATTCCGAGTCCTTATGTTTTTCCCTAGCTCCTGCCAGCCCTGTTTCCACTTCACCTCCATAGCCTCTTGCTTCTGTCCCTTCTACACCTTCCTCCTCCACGGACCTCTCCTCCGGACCCTGGAACTATTTGACCCTGCCGGTCTCCACCATACAGGTCGATGCACAGACGGCATTAACTGTCTGTACGTACTTTTGTCTTCTCAGCCACCACCACTTCAACCACGACCAGTTCAGGAGTGACCCCCAGTGTCCACAGCCCGGTCTACCATCATTCATCGCACAACTGACTGTTTTCCTCTGCTGCTGCTCGACGCCCGGTTACACTCCATCTCCCTTCACCTGTCTATTTACCTGTCTGTGATTGTCACTGTAAATAAATTTAGCACTACTTGCACCGAAGTCAGCTACCTGGGTCTGTCTATTCTTCCTCGCTCACCTCCATGTCCAAGCAATCATAACAATCTGTCTCCATCACTCTCTTCACACACCCACGCATTCACACACACACTGAAGCTGTTAAATGACAGTGGTGAAAAAAGATATAGTATATGAGGGTCCCTCATAATAAGACAGAAGCAGTGTCTTAGTGGTTTGACTTAACATGTCTAATAATGGTTCAGTGAGATTAGTCACAAATGATGACGCATTAATGAAAATGCAGAAAAAGTCAAAATAATAAGAGGCAGAAAAAACACAGGAAAAAATACATTAAAGGGCCAGTTCACCAAAATTACAGAAAAATCACGCGATGACTCTAGACATGCACACTGGTCTGATTTAATTTGCCCAGGTTCTGTGAAATCTTTTTCCCAGATGTCTGCCCCCACCAATACAATATAGTCAGTGGCATTTTTGTTTGTAGCTGCTCAGAGCTTCTGACATCTCTTTAGAGGATCACTCCCTGCCACATTAGATAAGCCACACTGTTGTGAGCAATTAGAAAATAGATCTAATGAAAACTGCTCACACTGAATAATATGGGCCAGCCAGCTGTTTTTCTCTGAGGTAAACAACCATTGCAGGCACAGTTACAAAGCAAATCCATATTAGGTCATAGGTGCATGCCAATAGTCCTTAGCACAGCAGACATTTTAACTTGTCACTGTCACTTTCAAACAGTTTCTGTTTGATATATCAAACATTTTATCAGTGTCTTATAATTTGGCTCCTTGGAATTCTGTGCTTGTACTAATAAAACCCACATATCAACATCCTGTAACATCCCAGGTTTGAAATAGAATAAGAGAACTTTATTGTATGTCATCCTCAATAGGTTTCTGTAGCTTTCCCCTGATCTATCTGTGTATCTATCTATCTATCTATCTGTATAGGTTTATACTTAATGTGTAGAAGCTAACAGTTAACCTGGATTTGTCCAAATATAGAAAATACAATTTCAGTCACTATTACATTTTTGACTTAGACTTTTTACTGAACAGCCCCAGGCTAGAGGTTTAGCCTGCCCTCTAGATATCACTAAAAATGGGAAGCAATATGTTGAACTGTTCCTTTAAAGTCTTGTGAAGTATTTGTTTTATTTTGTCACCTCATTATTACCTGAACTATTATAGTAATATCAGCACGATGCATGACGGAAAACAAATGTATGTGCTTGTGAAACATTTTATTCATGTCAAGTCTCTAGTAAACACCATTATTCTACAGTATATTCACTCTGCCTCAGGAAACATTGTTTATCATTAACTCCCTCACTCCCCTTCTCCTGGCTGCGTTTAATCTCAGTGTTGTTCTAACAGGGATCTAATCCATCACTTCAACTGTTAAGCTTTAAAATGCCCATTTAGGAATGACTTTAAGCTTGTGCAGCTACAAGATTACACATTTCATACCTGTTAAGCTATTTTCCGGTTTGTATTGATTTTCATTCCAGACCATCATACTCGTGACTGTGTTGTTTGTTTGTGTGTGTGTTTCCTCATGTTGTCCACAGGTGGGGGTCTCATTGTCAGTGGACTTAACAGGCTAGTCATGGGATTAGCACTGATTGTCCCCCTGAAACTAGTGTCAGATTAACAAAAACCCATGCCTTCAAAAAACTGTCTGTAATGTAGACAAGCTGTCAGTTCCTCTGCTATTACCTCACCTACTTCAGCCTCAGCTGTCTCTCCCAACCTCAGCTCAGTGGACACACTTACAGTATGATCATATCACTTGTAATCCTACACTGGCAGGTCCTGGTAGAGCTAAGCTGGGACATTTGGGGTGTTTAATTGTGATCCTTTTGGCAATGTGTTAGTACTGATGTTTATGCATCTGACACTTGACTGCATGCCAGTTACTGTATTTGCCAATATACTGATGAAAATGTTCTTACAGCATGTTAATAACTATTAATGATAAACTCAAAGTTATCAGTAAATCATTGTTACACACAACCACCGTGGTGTATTATGACAGTTTTTCTCAGCCCCTTTTGTCCATTTCTCAAATCAGAAATGAAATTCTCTAAATTGTTTGTTGAACCAACACATCATCCAGTCACTTGTGAACCTCATATAAACAATTTCTCATAGTTTTTAACAAATTGTAGATTTTTTTGGCACATTCATACAAACAATTAAGTACAACTGTCTATTGTTTTCTGCATTATCAGTTGCTTATGTCTTGTTGATCAAAATGTATTATATGATTCTTTGTCTGCCCTCCCAACACATTTAGGCATTAGCTCACTTAAGATGTCACTATGTGCAAAATGGGGGCACTAGTTGTCTTTAGCATTTGTCAGAAATAATTCTATAGTTCTGTCAGACTTTTTTGCTACTTTGTCTGAATTGTTTAAATGCTCTCAGGTGAATCTTGACTTTCACTAATGAAGGGGAATGTGTAAAGCATTAGATCAACCAATGGTCAACCAGTTCTCTACTGTAAAAGCTCAGAGGTGCATCTCATGAACCTTCGGTTGGCAAGCATATATAGACAAAGCAGAACATAGTGTTACAATTTTGGACAATGGAAGAACAAGGAAATGAACCGCATCAGCTGCTGGGTAAAAGAAGAGGAGTAGGGCTGTGTGGTGGAAGTGTAGGGAGGCAAAACAGAGGAAGAGGGAGACAAGGCCAAACACATAAGCACATTCCCAGTGAAATAAGGGCCACACTTGTCGACCACCATGCAAATATCCAAAAAGGTTTGAGAAATGTACCAAAGCGACTGAGAAAAACTGTATTGTACATCTGTTGCTGGAAGGCTTTAAATGACGATGGGTCAAAGTGTCCAACCTCAAATCAGGGTTAACACAAACAAACAAAACATAAAGTATTAGATGATTTTAATCTTAAAAAACAGAGATGGAAATTAAGGGGTGGCAGCAGACAGAGAGACAGAGACGGAGGTTAGGGAGGATGAGGAGGAGGAAGAGACGGATTAACGGATTAAGGTGGTCAATACTTTGGCTCCTCTCCCAGTCTGAGAGATGACACTAAATCTGTTAATTCATTCCCCATCTCCACCCCTCCTCTTCTCCTCTCAGAGTTGCTCTGACATTGCCATTGTCTTGCAGGACTATAATGTTTTACTGTGACAAACTGTTAATGTTCAATGCAAATGCTGTATTTAAAGTCAAACTGATCGATGCTTCAGAATTAACTGTAAATGATTCATAGAAAGTTCAGAAACAGCCAACATTGTCGATATTTGGCAGAAAAAGGTGCAGGGAGCTGGAAAAATAAAACCCAGTACATTTGAATACAGATAATATTTGCAATAATTATGAAGTTTGGCTGAGGAGGCGTTCACTCGAGGCAGTAACTCCTCTGCACTGCACCTTTAGTACTGCTATATCACGGAAAAGAAAGTGTGCAGCATTTTACTTTTAGTTGTATGTAAATTGTGTGTATTCCAACAGTGTGCATGCTTACTAATGCTTCATGTGGAAGTAACAGTGGAGCAAGAACCTTTCTGGTCATTGGGTTGTTATTACCTCCACCAAGGCAGAGGTTGTGTTTTTACTGATGTTTGTTTGGTGGTTTATTTGTTCACATCATAACTCAAAAGGTAATGAGTGGATTTAGATGAAGTTCTTTTGGAAAGGTAGGGTGTTGCCCGTGGAACAGTCTAGACTGTCATCTGGATCCAGATTTTTTTAAACGATTCTTCATCAGTGTGAGATAGTGCCAATTTCAATACTTTCCCTTCTAACTCCATACATAATGCCTACAATGCTTGGACAAATGTTGCAAGGTAACACCCACATAAGACCTAGCACACACCAAGGAATGATCTGGACCCAATTAATATTATGGATCTTCTGATCCAGAATGTTCAAATGTATAGGGTTTATGGAAAACTTGCTAGTATGAGCCAACAAATAATGTTACAGACTTGCAACTAAGATGAAATTCTAGCTGAAACTCTGCTGATTCAGTAGATTGTCAATAGATTTGATGTATTTTTAAAGGTTACTGAGTTAGATCCTTGGCTGAGGTTTGCACTGTCTACCATAGCTAGTGTATAATTCTATTTTTTTATTAGTATTTCCACTGACACTTTTAATGCTATAGTACCAAGACAGTTAAATGAAACTGTGTGGAGGAACACTGTAACTTAATTGGTAGCTGTCAAACTTCATGTACAACCAATCCCACAGACATTTATGCTGCCTTTGTAAAATTCACTGCCTTCAACTCTGATGACATTTTTATAGTATACAAACAAACTTCCACAGCATTAACAAATACTAGAAATAACCATATTTAAACATGTCTCTGTGATCAAAACACTCCTTTTTAAATATGCATGAAGGCTGCACTGTATTTACATAATAGAATTAGATAATCCTGATTTGTTGTACCCGGGTGGGGGTGCAGGTTTGTTCATGTTGATTAGCTTCCAACACGCGTGTGACTGATGCTGTGTGAGTCAAACAAACAGGCTGCAGGGCCATAATGTGACTCCAAAGGCAGCGTCCCTTATCACCCATTAGGGAGACGGTTCCCATGACAACCTCGCTCACTTATGACCTTTTGCAGACATGGTTGTAATTACATTAAATTACACTGTATTGTGTCATTGTCTGCTTTCATGAGTCATTTCCCATGAATATCATCCAGCAGGCCTGCTGTGAGCAGCCCCATGCAGATAAACTTTCACAGCTTGCTCGTGCTCTGGCAGCTCAGAGAATGACATTAAACAGTCTCACTCAGGAAGTAATCATTTTAAAGGGCAATTGCGGTAAATTGCCTGCATGCAGAAGCCAGCAGTCTTCAAGCTATACTGTGCCTTTTTAAAACATAAACTGCACATGGTCTCACAAGCCACAGAAGTCTTTTCTCACACTTGATGACTCCCTCTTCAACCCGGAAGGAAGAGGACTTTGATTTTGGCGGGGTGTTGTGTTAGCTCAGTCGTGGACATTGTTGTGGATTGCCTGCATCCTTTTATTTTCACACATCTTTCTCCTCTACCCACACATGTTCTCTCTCTGGCTCCTCTCTTCCCTCGGCCTTTATGTGATCATGTTGCTTGGTAACAGCAGAAGAATGATGAGAAGAGTAGGATGTGTTTGGGAGCCTCCTATGTAATGTGATGTGTCCTCACATCAGTAAAGAAATACAGCCACAATATGAGCAGAATGAAACTTATCCTAATGTATTTCAGTGTAGGCAGGTGAAAAATTGTAAAAAAAAAAAAAAAAAAAAAAAAAATTGGACAATGAGAATTTTGTGAGGTCCCATTGATCAAGGAGACACACCCTGCTCTGATTAAGTGAAATAGTATAATAGTTTAATGTGAAGCTTAATTATGCCAAAGAAGAGTCAATATATTAAGATACAAAACTTGCTTGAAAATTTTGTTTAATTTGCACAAAAATGTATCAAAAATTTCTTGGATATTTTAGTTTAAAATTTGCATATTTAAATTTTCAAGTTTCTATGCTGCTCTCCAGAGTTCATCAGTTAAGAGTGGACTCCATTTATTTTAGGGGAATATTATTACAAGTGAGAACTCACCACCGTGGACTCCACTTCAAACCAAAGTTCAAACCAACAATAGGGTTATATTTCACTGTACTGTTATGAAGTCGCTGTTGCACAGACTGCCAATATGCTGCCTCTAATCTGACCATAGATCAAAGTTTGAGATGTTAAACTGCTTCAGGAGAGAGACAGCCCAGAGTGCCTGAGGTAAGGGTGGATGCAGGACAGGATATTAAATCATCTTTTATCTGGAAAACTGCAGTGATGAATTAACAAGGAAATGGTGGCTGAATGATAATGGCAGAGATGCATTTATAAAATATATATGTGTGATATTTAACATTTATCACAGCAATTAGTCTCAAGTCAACTAAAAAACTCCTTAGCATTTCCCCAGAGGCTGTTTTCTCGTTAAAAATTACTGACTAGGTGGAAAACCAGCCCCTTTATCTCCATTTCAACAAACTGTGAATATTTCCTTGCTCTATGGCAGTAGGCCTATTCTCATATCTGACTCATTACAGCATCTTTGGAAAAAAGGTCAGGGCATGGTTGCTAATGACAACCTGCACTGTGCTGCTCTACTCAGATCATTTGGGTGTGTGTGTATGTGAGGTCCACTGGCAGCCTCATTTATAGGGACCAGTCGCCCCCTGCTGTTTCTCAGTTTCTGACATGTATGAGGTTGCCATGCCAACCAGAGAGGGCATTTATGAAAGCACGAAGCACATTTATCCACCTGTGAACACAGAAATCAAACCAGTCAGTTGGATGCTTGTTATGGTAAAACATAGCACTATGTTGGTCAGATTAATGATTACAGTCATACAATTTGCAGTTTTAAATGCATCGAGCTATAACTGTATTAAGGTGGAGACATCTGAACCTGCAGTAGCACATTTGTGCCACTTGGGGGAAGCAAGCATGTCAAAAAACGACCTTCACATGCTGAGTCGATTAACGACAGAAAACGGACCATCAAGGCAGCAACTATCTTGATAATTAAATGATAGTTATAGATTCCAGCTTCTCAAACTACGCATACATGAGAGTAAACTGAATATCTTTGGCATTTATACAGATGATCAGTCTAAATTTGAGGAAGTTACTGTTAGCTCTGGGAAGTCGAATAGGCATTTTTCACAATTTTTTGACAATTTATAGGCAAATTTCAGTTATTCAGTTCATTGGCAAAATAATCAGCAATCATTAATTAAACTAATTGTTAGCTGTAGCCCTTAACCAAAATGTTAGTCACAGTTGTTTTTCCATTAGTGTTTTTATTCATACAGTGAGGATGCTCATACATAATATTTTTCTATAAAATATATTACCTTTCAGTTCCTGAAAGCAAAAACTAGATATAAATCATCAAATTTCATTTGATAAGAAGCAACTCATTTTCAAGTGTCAACCAAGGCAGTCAACTGTATCAGCAGTCAGAAATGCAGATTTAAGAAATCACATTCTAATAAAGACATTTTTTCTTCTGTCTAGCAAAGCCACAATGTCTGAGTGCTAAGTCCACCATCCACCGACACAAAAGACAGTGATAGTTTGGGTTTTCTAAAGTAGCAAATGCTGTTAAAATGCTGTATCCACGAAAACAAAACAAACAAAATTGAGTTTTTTATGCAAAGACAAAAATACAGTGGTGGTGAAGAGGGAGGCTGTGACATTAAGAAATGTGAGTGTTTCAACAGAACTAATTATGTCTGTCATGTTGCCTATTGCACATTTTCTCTCCACTCCTCGTGTGTGTCTTTGTTTCCTTGTTGGATGAAATGCTTCACAGTTGTCATGGCAACCCTTCGCATCACAGCAGCTCGCTGTGACCAGGTGCTGAGTTGATGCTATCTGCAAAGTAGAATCATTACCAAAAATAAGTGAAATATCATGGTGATTGATCAATACTAGTATCTGTTCACCTGTACAGATACGTAATAATGCAGTCAGAACATAAAGTTAATGGCATGTTGTAGCTTACAGCGGTGAGAAAAATAAGTGAATGTTTTAGAATAATAAATATGGTCAGATTTTTATCTAAGTTACATTTATGAACAAGTGCAGTCTATTTTACCTTATAACACATTCATTCATTCATTTTCTTCCGCTTAGTCCCTGAACAGGGTCACGGGCGGGGCCGAAGCCAATCCCGGCCGGCAATCGGGCGAAGGCGGGGTACACCCTGGACAGGTCGCCAATCCATCGCAGGGCCCTTATAACACATAAATCCTTGTATTGTTCTTGCCCATGCTGAACACACCATTCAAAAACAAACATTTTCAGTTTGCTGTTGACAAGCAGCATCTGCTGATGTGAATCTTGTCTTGAAAAAAGATCTCAGATGACTTACAGTCAAGGATTGTTAATTTGCATAAAGCTGGAAAGGATTACAAAATAATTTCAGATCTTCATCAGCCCACAGTAACAAACTGTCTATACATCAAGATGATTTAGTACTGTGGCTTGCTGCTACCCCTAGACGTGGGTGCTCAGCTCCGATGACTCCAAAGGCTGACCCTAAACATCGAAGTAAATCTACTACAGAATGACTCCACCTTTTGGAGTGTTCCAGTCAAAATCCAGATCTTAACCCCATTCAAAGATGCTATGGCATGAGCTCAGAGAGCCCCTCACACCAAGCATCATAAACATATGTCTGAGCTGAAGCCACTCTGTGAAGAAGAATGGTCCAAAATCCTTCCTGAACATTGTGAAGGTCTGACCCACAGCTACAGGAAATGCTTGTTTAAGGTTAAAGCTGCCAACAGAGGTCTAGTCAGTTATTAAACCCAAGGGTTCACTTACTTTTCCCACCACCACTGTGAGTGTTAATAGGTGTGTTATACACAAAAGATTATAGCAGTTGTGTGTTAATACACACTTTGTGTTTGTCTACACTAGTGACTTAGAAGATCTCATCACATTTTATGACCACTTAATGCAGAAAACATGCCACTAACAGAATCACTGTTTTTCTATTGAACAATGCCTTTTTATAGATACCCATTTAATCATCATGTTCCACAGTAGTGGACACTGTAGTCTGTTCCCACTTTGCCCATACTCTCAACATCTGCCACACACACACACACACACACACACACACACACAAACACACACACATAAATAAAAACAGAGAGACATGTACCAGACAAGTCCAGGGACTTATTTCTGTTTTGGGGTAGTCTAGGTTTTTTCACAGGGGGTTTGCGATTTGGGGGCTTCTCAACGTTATTGGGGCTTTCCCTGTCAGTGCCTGGGTTCAGTGAGGACAGGAAACACAAATTACCAGTTAGATACAGACACGTTGCACAGAGATCAACATATAGACACAAATTCCATTCACAATCATATGTATCGTAACAGCCTGTTAGGTTAATGGAAACAGTACATGTACAGTATAGTGCAGAAAATACATGAAACTGTACCTGCATCACAAGACATGGCCTTTCTGTTTCTCTGTGGTTTTACTGGTGCTTGAGGTCTGAGTCCTTCATCACCTGATTACATGTAATGAGTGACAAAGATATTATATATTTGTCAGGGCAGGATGCTGTATTTATTAATTGTGAAGTATTAACATGTACATGCCATATATATTGCAAAGTCTTTCTTTCAGTTAATGTATGGTGAAACCTTAAAACCCAACAACTGAAGCAGAATGCAGCCAAAGATCTCTGTGCACAGTTTTACTCAGGTACATTGACCACAGAAATGAGTAGGTGAATGAGTAAGTGAAAGAAACAAATCCCTGTTGGATCAATTCTTTCTTGGTCTAGCACTTAACTCCACATAAAACCACAGATTGTTAAGTGCTAAGCTAATCAGCTATTAGCTGCAACCTCCTTATTTTGCACATTGACACTGGAGTGGTGCCAATCCTCTTATCTAACTGAAAAATTGTTGAAGCACTGAAGTTTTGCTGAGTTGTTTATTTGTATTGTTGACATTCTGCGACCAAAGGTCCATGATGAATCAAACATTTTAGCTGTTAATTTATGTTGTGCAGTGCAGGTACCTTGACTTGCTGCTCTGTCTGGTAGTCCATGCACAGGCCTGCTGACAGGAGGCGGCACAGGAGGAGGAGGCAAGTTCCTCTCATTGGCTGATTCTTTTGAAAAAGCCACATACGAGGATGCCTTTGGCTGTTTTGTCAGGTAAGAACAGGAAATCAGTACAAACAATGCACCAACAACAAAGACAGTTGGGGCAATTACAAAGTTTGCTATAAATTTACCCACAAAGATAAGAAAAATGGGACCAATATTATTTCCCACCCTTTCAGGAACTGGAGGAGGATGACCCTCCGAATCTCTTCTTTTTTCTTTTTCTTTCTTTTCCACCTTCCCAGGATCCCTGTCTGTGTCTCCTTCCTCCTCGGTATCTTCAAATTATAAAAAGGTAACCGTCACCTAAGTTTGTGCTTCGTGTACACACTGAAGCAAAGACTGCAGTCAAAATCTTGCTGCAAAGCAAAAATCTCTTTTCTAACTTGCAGCAGAAGGATAACAGTGAAATACCTGGTAGAGCATCTGAGCTCTCATGCTGATGTCTCTGCCTCAGTTTGGACAGGCTGGGCTTGCTGCTTTGGGATGGGGGGTCGGGTTTAGATGCACACACAGCAGCTCGAACTATTCCTCCTCCACTGCTCCTCCATTCTTCTGTAAAGCCACCAACAATGTCAGGACACGCGTGTCTGTCTCCCTGTGTGTCCTGTTGATGCCAGCCTGTAGCTGCTGCCTCGGTGTTTTTCAGGGGATCCGTTTCCTGTTTTGGGGAGGGCATCCTGTCTGATGGGTATGGTGGCAGTGGCCGTTGAGCCAAATGAAGAGCCTGCACTTGTCTCTCCATCTTTCTGCCCGGATGTCTGCCCTCAGTCCACTGACTGTCCACCAGTATGTCGGTCGGCCTGTTCTCTGACCATGACCTTTCTATTTGTCTGCCTCCTACCCACTGTTTTTCTATCTTTCTGTCAATCTGCCGCTGGGTGTGTTTGTCAACAGTCCACTGTCTGTCCATATGTCTGTCTGGATGCCTGCTCTCAGTCCAGTACCTGTCTGTCTGTCTCTCGGTCATTCTTGGCTCTCCAAAAGTTCTTTCTTGGAGCCTGTCCTCAAACTGCTGCCTCTCTACATGTTGATCACTCTGCCTCACTTCCATCCACTGCATGTCTGCTTGCAGGACCTCTGTTGTCCTCTGTTTGTCATCCGCCCAGTACCTGTCCACTTCCACCAGCTGATCAAGAACAGCATCTCCTTCAGATGTCTGTCAAAACGCAACAAGAAGATGCAGAAGAAAAGACTGTACCTCATGCAAACATGCAGTAAAACAAATACTTGCAGCAGGCCACAATGAATATACCTCTTTGGGAGAGTAAAAGGGGTGCTTGCTTCCTCCCACACCTGGATGAGGGATGCCCATAACTGGTGGTGGGCTCAAAACAAGAGCACTTTTCCCCTGGTGATCATTCATTTTCCCATCAGCCCCTTCACCGGGAGATCCACCTCTGGCAGCAGATCTTGGAGCCTGGAGGAGTGTGTATACATTCTCTGTGGCTGTCCTAAAAGGTTGAAGTCACCAAAAATGTTAGTCTGCCAACATTTCCACAGATTCAAAATAAAGAACTAAGACTAAAATACACTAACAAACTTGGAGAGTGGTATAATTAGGAAGTATCACTTGTCTGCGGCAAACCAGCTATCTCGCTATCCTAATCTGTATTTGTTATGCAGTGTGCTCACTTCTAATCACTTGGCTGCCTGCTGGATCCAGAGTTGGAGCCACCGGCTGTCAGCTACATCTGTGTACACACTCTGGTGTCAGCCTGCCTGTGCTTTGGCAGCTAACAGCCATTTCTTATATCAACATGGAAATGACAGAGATTTGATATTTGTTGGAGTATTTATGGAGTTCAGTGCTGCTGATTGTCCTTTGAAGAACCAAGAAGTAGATAACCAGCAGAAAATGTGAAAATGCACAGTAGAATATGGAAGGAAAGTCACAGACCGTGTGTGTTTATGCACAAACCCTGAGGGTACAGTGTCACCAGTATTACACCCGTCTCCATAAACCTCTGCTTCAGACTCCTGGGGTCCCTGATTGGACAGAGTTTGGTTGCGGTTTTTACGAAAACCAAAGATGGCCAGCATGTTTCTCCTCTTCTTTCTCCTCAGAGAGTGAACTTTGTGAAGAGAGGAGAGCTCACTGAAAGAGGTGAGAGAGGTTGAGAGTCACACACACTAAGCCTGCTCCAGAACAATCAAGTCTTATCACATCTCAACAGATCTCCACACCAGGTATTTGAGCGTAGCTAGGCTGCATGTCTTGGTACACAATGATTTTTCTAAAATTGACTTTTTAATATTAAAGTAAAAATGTAATCAAATTAAAAGAACTGACTTAAGATGATGATCTGCAGCATGGAAGGGAAGAACATTATTCAGAAAAGCTGTGCCAAAACAAAAGCTCACTACTCTGCTGTATTTATATTTTGAAGGGTCATACTGATGGTTCTGCATGTTCCAGCTCATTAATTCTATACTTCTTCATTTCCAAACTTTATACTATCGCTGACTAACCAAAACATTCATGTCCAAAGCATAATGAAATCACCAGCTACTAATGACAGCCAAACAAACAAAAAAAACTGTTGCCAACAGATCAGTCATGTCCTGTCACCTAAAAAGCCCTGAAGCAGTGAAGCAGCAGCCCCAGATCCACTCATCATCAAAGAGTGACAAAGTTTATACATTAATTGGGCAAAGATGACGGACACCAGATTCAGCTGCTTCTGACTGTACCAGAAGGTAAAGAAGCCGAACTTCAACATGAGACTACTTCAAAGACAGACACACAGTGGTCAGAGAAACAGCTTTCCAAACTCAAACTAAGATCTAAACACAAGCCAATTAAAATGGAGCCATAGTGAAAATGTCTGAAAACACAAAACCGTCAGAGCCTCACAGGGTCCTAACGACAGAGGAGAATGAATCACTGATTTATTTCTTTGCTAAAGTGCATGTATACACACACACACACACACACACACACACTCATTGTGTTCGATTGTGTGGATATGATTATAAATCTCATGCACTGTACTGTAATTTAAGTGTTTAGATTTGAATTTGGAAATTATATAAATGTATTTTTGTAACTAACTCACACATTTGTTCACATCATTACTCTGAAAGTATATTTTACAATAAAAAGTGACTAATAATCCAATCTTAATCCAAGGTCACATAGAAGTAAAATTTAGATTTTTGAACTAGTCCCACTGGTTAAACTGTTTGGCACAAACACTACTACTCTGAATAAACCCACTAAGGTCACTGAATAAGTATTTACAGAGGAACCCTAGTTATAAATGCTGTGGTATGTGGTATTGGTTTACTCATCTCTGTACCAATAAACGTGAAATAATGGACTAAATAGTAATAATGAACTAAACATACAAAGAAGGAAGAAGGCTTAATGACCACTACTTTTGTTCTTCATCATAAACAAAACCTGACAAGAAGTGCCAGACCTGTGGCCATGTAGATGAAGATGATATGTATGTCTCACTTTGGAAACCTTTTGGCTCATACTGTTCGTATGATCAAGACTAACTGTAGAATATGAGAAGGAGGAGATGACGTGTCCTCTGCATCTTCAGAGATGTTCAAGTATAAAGTAGAAATCTTTTACATGCACTGTAGAACAGTTCAAAAACAACTGACCAAAATGAGTCTAACCCTGCACACAATCACAGAATAAATGATTCTGTGATAAGATATAGTGTAACATGGCTTTTGAATAATTGGACCTACAGTATGAACAACTGAAAACAGGATTAATATATGCCTGGTGTTTACATGCTGATGCAGACTGACTGTTACCAAAGAATTTAGTAGTCTACGAAGAGTCACTACCTGTGAGATTATTACAACATTCTGGTCACATTCTGAACTATTCAGTCATTTTAACTCTTTTCTATTAATGCCACAGTTTCCACAGTCACTTGCTTTTACTTAGTGCAATTTGTTTATTTTCGCTGTGCCGTGTGCTTCTTTTGGCCCTTTTGTTACACAATCAACAGAAATTGCAATAAATGGATGAAAAATCCTCTTACTGCAGTTGAATATACCCATTTTCTGTAACTCCCCTAATGCTACCTTTGGTAAAGATTTGTTATGATTACACCAGTGAGTTTTCCCAAAGTGCATGCTGCATTTTTAAAATGATTTCCTGTTGTTGGATTTTAACCTTTAATCTCGTTACACAATGAAAATCAATATTTCATCCCCTTTATTATTTGCAAAAAACTCTTACAGCGATGGTGCATTTAAGGATGCTCTGACAAGCCAGATTTAAGTGTTCTTGGCAGAAAAGCATTTGATTCACAAGCTACAGTATGCTGTTGGAAAATTAAACAATAAGCAAATGTGTTGTCTGCTGATATTTACTGTGAGAGGTTGCTGTTTAGTAGTTAATTCTCTTAATGTTCTTGATCAAGGAGACATTTTTGAAACAGTTTCTGCCACATTACATGACAATAAGTAGGTAAAAGAGAAAAAAATGTTTAATGTGATGGATTAACTATCTAAAGCAAGCTCGGTAAGTTGATTTTCACATCATGGAGAAATAAATAGAAAATAATGAGTTCCTGGAAAGCAGAAACTCAGTCTAAAAACCTATGGTATGGTTTTACAAACAGAGGTAAATCAAAGTAAATGTGAAATATATAAAATAGAAGTTGGGCTAATTTTCTGTCAAAAGAGATCCTTAGTAAAACTCCTACCTGTCGGGAAGGACTCTTTTGGTGTAGAACTCTGGCAGTCCATCATCAAGAGGGCTTATTCCTCCATTTTCGCTACAGTTCTGTACAAACACAAACACATTTAAAGCCTTTTAAGAGAGGGCAGTTTAGCTGCAATGGCTGTCACATGTAAATGTTATGTATACAATTCCATGAGCTTCACTGAGATGACATAATTCAACTTCAGCCATCCATTTCGTAAAGATTACTCCTGACAAAGACACTGCAAGTAGGCTGGAACATTAGGAAATGGGAGAATTATAAACTGATGGGTGGAAGTATAGATTCAGATTTCCTCCTGTTATGTTCATTTCTCAGGTGATGCCTGCTCAGCAGTTATGTTCGTGGGTCAATTTGACCCGCAACATAACAGGAGGGTTAAGTAAGGGTAATGTACCTGGAATACTGCCCAAATCAAACCCTTACCATCTCAGCAGGGATATGCCCTCCCTTGTGCCTCCGCGGAGGCCTAGGCCGAACACGTGTAACATGGTGGAGAGGTAGACCCTGCGTAGGCAACTCTGCCAGGCCCTCCCAGGATACAGAGGGGGATAGCGGTGATGAGTACGATGGCACAGAGGGAGGTGGAGAGGAGCTGGAGTCATCACCTAGACCTGATAGCAGCAGAGAGCAATGAAAGGATTATGGAGGATGAGAGGACAAGACACTGAGAAGGCACAGTCAAGGAGACAGGTTGGGGAATTAGAGGGAGCCATCATTTCCACTTCATCCAGTTTAAAACAATCAGCGGCTGCTCTCAGATATACTGACTCAGAGTTTGTGCAGGCCAGATTAAAACAGCCATTAATAGACTTCTCAGATGGAGAGACAGGACAGAAGAGAAAGACTCAACAAAAAATGCTCTAATGGCGCCACTGAAAGAGACAAGATGGGGTGAGAGCTAAACAGAAAAGAGTGGCGAGAGCAGGATAAGAGGATATACAGCAGCACTCACTCAGCCTGGTGGAGACAGGTCGTATTCGTCTTGTTCTTGAGCTGCGTTTCTTAATGGCTATTGTGTCCTGGGAGGAAACAAGAAAGAAATTGATACTGTGACGCTGAGGGATAAGTAAGTAAAGTTATATAAGCAGGAAAAAGTATACATGTCTAGTATTTCAAATGATACAAGCCCTGCTTTAGGCCAGTCAGTGCTTTTCTGAGTTTGTCAAATCAAGGCACTGTATATTTTATACAAAGTGACAAATACACACTGGGACAGAGAAGGTGGATGAATAACAGTACTGTGAATTATACTGTGACAGCATGTCAGGTGTCCCAACAGAGACAAAAACACACCGGACCACTGCTCCATGGTAATGAAAGATGCCTATCACTCTGAACCCTGCACAGCCCATGGACTCTCCAGTCACTGTGTCTCATCCCAGGCTATAGGCAGAGACTTAAACCTACATAGCCTGCGATCAAAACAGTGAAATGATGGACCAAGGAGGCTAAAGTCATTTTTACACAGATTCCGCACTACTGCCATTCCAAAGGGTCACCAATATCCAATATAATTACCAATGAAAAAACTGTTCTTCAGGGTGTTCTGACCTTTTCTGCTTTACAGACAAAAATATTTAAAAATCCTCATGAGTTTTCGAGAGGAGATCAAGCCTCAAGGTGTATGACAGGGGTGGACAGCTGTGACTCAGGAGGCAGAGCAGGTTGGAGGTTTAATTCCCGGCATAGAAAAGCACAATACGAATACAATACCATTTTACCATTTAGGGTAACGACTGAACTGAGTGTGATGAAAAGGGCTTTGGCCTTATTGTAGATTCTTGAGATAATGACAGAGAAGCAGTTCACTCCAGTAGTTTTATCTGCTTTCTTGTAAATGTTGAGCTGCTATTTAGTGTGTCTTCCAAGGTTTGCAATTTATTCTTTTTCAGGTTGACTCAGCTTTCCTCCATCCCGGCAACAGTGGTAATAATCAGCTAAGATTTAGTTTCAGGCTCAGTTTTCTCATTCTATAAGGGGCAATTTGATGAGGAGGAATACCGTAGTTGAGCAGGAAGTGTATAAGAAAACTAGCATTTACTTTAATGAGCTCAGCTGATAAGTAAAAAATTGTTTGAGGTGGAAGAGTATGTAAAATCAATGTAAAAACCATGGAAGGGAAGGAATTAAAAAAAACTGCCCTGTAATCACATAAACAGGTATTAAGTCAGAGTTCTGTCCAGTCAGGACTCGAGTGACTAACAAACTGAACAAAGTATTATAAACTAATAAATACAAGGTTTATTACCACAGACAAAACAAGAGTTTAAGTTCCTAAGGCATAAAATATGATTAAACCTAGGTATAAATATACAGAGAAGAACAGACATGTTACGTAAATAGTCTGTAATGTAGTGTGTGAGCATTACATACAGTACTGTCTTCACTTATAATGTCACCTTTAGACCAGTGGGTATCATATATAAAGATAATTTGACTGGTGCAAGTTTAATTCCAGTCAGGCTTATGGTTGTAGGAATTAAAAACGTTTTGAAATCTGGATTTTCAATAATGTGCTTCAGTCAAGTCAATCAGTGAAAAGCTTCTAAAGGTCACAACACAATGGAAATGACAATACACCATCAATCCAAGTAATGGAGGAGTTAGGGACTCTCAAATTTTGACCTTTAACTGTAGTGATCCTGTCAAGAAAATAATGTAATGTCATGTAATGTTTCAAATGCCAGACCCCAGAGGAAAATCCATCAATTCTGCAAGTTTTACAGAGACAGTATTTTTGGTTAGTCTAGTACTCAAGTTCATGAACATGGCCTACAAAGGAGAGTGAGCCCTAGTTAGGTAACATACTGTATGTATTCAATGGTCAACATAGAATTAAAGAATAAAAAGGTAAGCAAAGGAGTTCTCAGGGACAAAACACATGCTAAAAACAGTGCAATAAAAAGTGTCTGAATATGTTCATATTTCCAGGCATATCCTTCTTTTTTTATATTGGCAAAAGACTGTTAAAAAGACAATACTATACCTGGACAAAATCACATTTAATCTCTTTAAAATACTTTGGCTGCTAGCAAAAAAGCCATCACACCAAGATGGCTGCAAGCAAAAATACAACAAAAGACAACCGAACTGCAGCTGCCAGTAAAACTGACCTAGAGTTGAGACTGTAAGTGTTATTGTTCATCAGGCTCTGTGCTCCAGTACATAAAATAACAAACACTCCATTAAAGCGCCAAGTCTCAGCTTTAATTTGAGTAGACTTATATCAATATAGAAAGACTTGTGTGGAAGATATAGCTCTTGCTCCATATTGTAAAAGTTCAAAAGTAATTGGATGCTTGTCAAGTGAATGTTCGCTCTACAAGCCAAGCAGCTGTGTGTGCATTCAACATTAGTTTGTGCACAAAACAGCTCACACGTGGCTTAGAAGTGATTGAGAGTTGCCTTTTAGATTGAGGCAGATTTGTCTGTCAATATGAGAAGTAAAAGGAGACTTCATGACCATAACCTCAGAGGATTCACCACAAGATGCAAACAGAAAGGCCAGGTTACAGTTCACAAAAATGAAACAGGTTGTTCAACAAAGTTCTGTGGACTGATGAAACAAAAAAATCAACCTCTATCAAAATGATGGAAACAGGAAGTGAATCTGTCAAGCATGGTGGTTCTGTTATGGCTTGGGCAGTGGAAGTGACACACTGGCATTTACTGATTTTAGTGCTGACAAAAGCCACAAGATGAATGCAGGAGTGTATGGGCGCTTTAAAGGGCTTTAAGATAGGACACGGTATGTGCTGTGCTCACTGTGGGGGTTGGGCGCACCACAAGGGAGGAGGGCTCACACGCACAAATCACGCTCATGTCGGGCACCAGTTGCTATGTGACCAAAGAGCTTTCCAGAAGGTGGTTAGCAGATATTAACTAGTTTTTCTAGCAGTGGACTTGGATGCACATGTCAGTGAAAAGCTCTGGCCTTAGTTGTATGGATGAGGAGGAGGACAGAGCTGCAGCAAAGAACAAGAGGGTGTGGGTCTACCAAAATCATCTTCTCCTCCATTTTCTTTGTGGTCTCTCAGGTCCTCTGCAATTGGACACGTTGAGGTGTCGTCACAGAGTGCTGTGCCCAAGGTGAACCTTTTGTTTAGAACTTCAGACAGCTCGCAAGTACGGCACGTGTGACAGATATGTTCTTGCACCGCGCAACACATAGAAATGAATGGGTTCAATAACAGAGTGCAAAGCCCACCGTGCCCTATCTAAAAGCCCCTTGATTTTTGCTCAGATTCTGCCGAATTCGTCAAAACTCAGTGGCATTTCATCATTCACAACGATTGTAAACATATGGCCAAAGCAACTGAAGAGCTTTCATGGTGAACAGATGGATATTCTCGACTGACCAAGTCAATCGACAGAACTTCATTCCACCTGTTGAAGGCTAGACTGAAGGCAGAGAGAATCCACAATAAGCAGAGCTGAAGGAGGCTGCTGGTGTCTATGGGCTTAAGACTTCAGGCAGTCATTTATCACCAAATATTGAATAAAATGACTTTTATTTGACTTTGTCCAATCACTTCTGAAAGCCCTAACCCCTTTGCACACTGTGTTAAACGGGCTACAACATGTGTATGTGCCTGTAAGATGTCACTGAAAGACCCTGCTCCTGTAGAAACAGGGTCGATCATTACAACAACCTACTCATTTAACTTGAAAGTTGCAAATAAAAGATGTTACAGTTATAAAAATTTGAATGCTGTGACAAATTGCCAAAGCACTGTATCATCTGAGAAAATTTGTCTGATCTTATAATGGACTCAGAACCCCCCCACAAAAAAAAACAGAAAACACACATGTCCATGTGTCCACACTCACTATGCTGGTGCCAAGCTCCTCATCTGTGATGTCCAGAGAGTCTCTGTGTCTGTTAAACCTCCAGACAGTCCCATCCTCACATGTCTCCTCCCACCGTTTAAGGTGAGACACCTGCCGGTTCTGAAACAGACAAAGCTCTTAAAACCTTCTGACAAGCATTCATTCCCTTTATGTATGTCTTACACCCACAGTAACTTTTCCAATAAGTGCTTTGTATTTACAAGGGTCTTATGGGTGGAGTAGAGCTCCTGCAGGATTTGGTCCACAATAGAGTTGGTGAGATAGGAAACCACAAACAGCTTGACTTCTCTGCAGAAGATTGCGTGAGAGGAAAAGGAGAGACAGACGGGAAGAGGTTTGGTAAAAGTGAGAGCAAATCAATATCCTACTTATCAAATTCAAACATGTTGCTGCAATGCTGCACTGCTGCTCTCCCCTTCTCCTTCTTCAAATTCCTCTCTTACTCTAAGGCTCGGTGAATGTCCTGTGCAGCTCTTTCCATCAGAGCAGTCCGAATGGCAGAGCGAGGGATGGACACGCGCTCAGAGACAGATGAGAGCGGAGGATTTAGTCTCTCGGCCGCAGAAGAAGATAAAGGGCAGAGCTCGCGACAGAGAGACACCATTGAGTCCACGATCACCTGTAATGGACAGCAGTCACTGTACCTCACTATGTTAGGGATCACAGTGTAAAAAGCTCTTAGATCTACCTGAAGCTCCTTGTCTGCAGCTTTGGTGAGTTCACCAGCCAGAGAGTCCAGTTTCTGCCGCACAGGCCCATCCACAGACAGCACATGAGCCAGCTCACACAGTGAAGGGTAGAGCTTGGAGTACAAGAGAGAAAGGATTCATTCAAATTCAGTGTGAAGGTAATGCAAATACTGTGTTTATACACTTCACATCACTCACAGCGCGGGAGTTCCTGGCCTCTTTTAGCACTTGTTTAGCAGCTTGAATTTCCTCCAACTCCCCGACACCTCGCAATATACACACCTGCTGCTGGACTCGTACACAGAGGCGCTCCATCACCTTGGAAACAGATGTGCAGGGGTATGTTACGAGCATAAACACACATAAAACACTCATAAACATACGCAGAGGTAAGAACACACAGATTAGTGCTACCTGTTCGGCGGTGCTCGTGACCAGACCTTGATGTAGCCGCAGAGCCTGTCTCTGGGAGAAACGCTGGGTCTGGTTGTTCCTCACCAGAGCACGCTGGATCTGTGCAGCAGAGAGGCAGAGGACAGTCATGAATATAAACTAGACAGAAAAATACAAGGAAACCAGACAGAAAATCAGGTGATGATGCAACAAGCCAGTTGCTACAGAAGACACAAATTGCGATGACACAGAGGAAAAGGCCCCGGAGAAGAAGCTGCTGTATTATTTTAAATCTGGAAATGGAAAATGAACCTGGTTTTGAAGATGCCAGACAACATTAAAAAAGTGTTCTGTTGTAAACATGAGAGATCTTATCAGATACCCCAGATCTGGTTTAATATGTTTTTTGTTTCTATTAGTGACTATGACAGTGGCTCTGGCCTCTCTTGCCGACCTTGGTCAGTGCCTGTTCTGTCCTCTCAGGGGCGCTGCGGTACGCATGGCTGATGTCACTTAGGGGAAGAGGCATGTACTGCAAGGTGAAATTACTGAGAGAGGAAAGAGAGGAGGAAGAAGAAAAAACAGCAAAATAGTCGAGTTATTGAAAGAGAAAATAAAGTTGGGTACAGATACAGGGGTTATTTATGGTTAATATCCCCACTGGACAGAGATCATCCCAAAATATCTCAGTAATGCAATGAGTGAGTAATACTTTGATCTTTACAACCAAGCCATCTTCAGCCTAAAGGTAGGTCTGGACCATGTAAGATAGCTAAGTTGAAAGCAACAATTTACTCGGCTCACGTTGCAAATTTCAATGTGGTTAAATGTTGTGAAACTAAAATCAGTGTGGTTTTTGTAGCAAATCTATAGGGCACCATCTTATTTACTGAGTAGATTCTAGTACTGTATATATACAAAATGCATGTTGATGTTTTCATGCTCTTACTGCTCAAGTGCTCGGGCCACATCGAGAAATCCTGCTGCAGAGGTGTTGTTGCGATCCCATGTCACACTCCTGCAGGGCAAAGTCGTGAGTTGCACTGGATACAAACCTCCACATAGAGCACAACTCACAGTATACTGCAAAAAACAGAAATGTTTTGAAATGTTTTCTTTCACCTGAGTGTAGTGTTGATTTGCAGGGCTTTGCTCAGCATCTTAGCTCCAATGTCATCCATGTTGTTCCCACTCAGGTCCACTTTTCTCAGGCAGGTGTTGCTGCCCAGGGCATTGACCAGCATGGTGCCCCGGGAGCGCAGGCGTGAGTCTGTCAGGGACAGAGAGTGTAGGGCCTGGAGAGAGGAAGAAACATGCATGTTGAAGTGTCTGGGTGTGTGTGAGTGCATGTATGTTGTGTGTAATTATGGATTAAATGAGGATGAGGAAAAAAAAACAACAGAAGATTGAATGGAGGAAGGAGAAGAGGGAAGCCAAGAGGATAAATTGTGGTAGTAAAACTTACTGCTGAGTGATGTGACTGCTTGCCTACTTGACTTTACATGCTGTATGTTGAATTATTTACAATATGTGTATGCAGTGATACAGACACTATGCCCACCAGGTACCAGAGAAACAGTAATAATTGATGACACAGTGACACATCAACAGTGTCACTGAGAGAGGAAAGTCATTGGGAACTGTTCTATTGTTCCATCCATAAAGCAAAAACGATGTGTCCAGGAATCCAGAATACCAGCTACAATTTTAAAATGTTCTTTTTACATTCCATCATTTAATACCAGTGCCACCAAACTTTAATTTGAATCCTACTCAATTTTGTTATGAGTTTTCCATTATCACTCACACATTCCTCCTCCTGTATGAGCTGAACCAGCTTCTGCAGGACTTCATCCAGAACCCTGCGGACACAAACCAAGAGACAAACATAGAGATGAAGCTGGATGAGCTGGTATGAGTAATTTTGTGCTGCAAGTTAGCTGTCTGCCCCGGGAGTGGCAGCCACTTACGAAAATAGAAGTAAAATCCTAGACACGCATATTCAAGCTGGCACATGCAGTGGACATGCACTCATGTTTGCATACACACACAAATAACTGCAGGAAAGCGTGCCGTAAAGCACTGGCAGCACCTGTTTTTGATATTGAAGTTCTTGCCCAGGTGTAGATGTTTGAGTGAGGGGTGCCTGGAGAGGGCTGGCAGCACTGTGAGCAAATCTGCATCAAGACCTGTCAACACAAATACACACACATACAAAGCACGATATGACTTGATCCATTAACAGCCCACTCAAACCTCGCCAGCCTGAGGCCAAAAAGTCAAGGTCACAAAAGGATGTGTTGCCACGTTCCACTGTACCGTTGTCGGAGATATCCAGAGTGGCAATAGAGGAGACTCTAGGGAAAAGTTCCTGAATTACAGCACCTCCTGCAGATCTTAGCTGAAGAGACAGAAAGAGAGATAAAGAGAGAGAAGAAAACCTACATGCGCACACATGAATGAGAGTCATTTAGGTTCAGCCTGTGGGGAATTGTTCTATTTTTCTAGAATGAGGTAAATTTATAGATGCCTTTTTATGTCTTTGCAAGCAGTCTGAAGGTGTGTTGAACAGCGATGTTTGCTTTGCTTGTAATCTGCAGCAGCTCTGCTCAGTGGTAGGGAAAATAGCTGCTGCTACAAGTAGGCTTAGCATTTTGTAAATTGATACAATTAAGTACACAGCATACATACCTACCTACAAACTATCTCCTTGACTTATATATAGCCATGGAATAGTTTCCATAACTGAACAGTTGACCTAAGCACACACCAGGAACAGTTAATTTGAAACAGGGACTTCAGGAGCCTGTGTGGGCTGGTTCCTATGGTGATTAATTGGCTTTTAATGAGGCTATTGCCAGGGACTGTTCTGCAACCTGAAAACAGCTATTGAGGCCAAAACAGATATCCTAAGTCAGAATTAAGTCTAAGTAGTGGGCTGTAATCTAAAAGCCAAAGCAATGAGCTGAAAGATGCTACAATGCTCTGTAGAGCAACAAAAGACTGCAGACCTCAGTGATAATTCTTGGTGTTTGCCACAATGAGCGGCACATTTCACATTACACATAATAAGTTGATTTGTTGTTAATGTAAAAACATTGATTATAGAAGCTTTAGGCTGATAATCAGGATACTTCCACAACTGCCAATCAATGATGTAGAGACATAAAAAAATGCACCCATTAATTCCTCCCACTCTAGTTAAGGAGCAAAAACTGAATTTAACTTAGAATCCATTGCAGATGTAGACATGCGGTCTTACCTCACAGCCACTGATATCCAGATAAAGGTCATTGATATGAGGATTGGAGATTAACCCTGTTAGGAGAGCCCTGTGAAGGCAGGAAGGAGAGAAGTGACTAAGAGAGAAAAGGTAAGACAGGTTTATTTATATAGTGCATTTTGATACACAAAGGAAATTCAAATTGCTCAACACAATGCACACGACTAGATAAAACATTAAAATGCTAATTAAATGCAACAATTACATGACAGCACAAAGTAATAATATGCAAGTGTAGATACTGTACCTACAGTAGTACGTTTAGGATAGCTGTGGCAGAGTGTGGATTCTCACTGTTCTCATTATACTTTCAGAATCAGAATCAGAATCAGAATCTGCTTTATTGGCCAGGTGTGTTGGCCACACGAGGAATTTGACTCTGGTACATCGGCTCTCAATGTGTATGTACATATCCCCATACAAGGGGCAAGTAAACAGTAAACCAGCATAAGGCTGTGTAATATAACAAAATAAGCAGTATTAACAAGCACCCCCTTACACTAGAAAACACAAGGAGTGGAACCTGTGCATACTGTATCTATATATTTAAAGTCTTTCTTTACTATAGAGGTTTTTGGATAAACTGCAGCAGATGTCGATAGAAAATAAGAGTGGACATGGCGGGTACCTCAGAACATCAGGCGGCAGCTTCATGGAGGCCAGGCTGACATGAGTGAGGCTGAAGGCTGAGCTGAAAAACTGACGGAACGACGGCAATGTGTCCTTCACTCTTCTATTGGGCAAAAAAAAAAAAACACAAGACATGAAAGAGAGGAAGTGTAAAAGTGCAGAGCTATTAGAGAGAGAGGGATGAGACCGGCCACACAGAAAAGATGAAGTCACATTGTTGACATACTGGGTAAACATGAGTGTACTGCTGAGTGCAGAGCGCTGACGCCGAATGAAAAATAGAGTGAATATTGCTTTGGTGTAGAGGAGAGCGAGTGGGGTCAAATGATAGATAACTCTGCTTAAATATTCATGAGTCTTATCTATGCAGACAGCACAGAGAGCTCTGGTTTTAAACAGCGGTGGACACACCCACAGAGAGGATACATGATGTTGCAGCGATTCCAACAAAGTTCACTTCCTATTTCCCTTTAAGCATGAAATGAGGATAATGAGGGAAAAAGAAATGACAGATGCGGTCTTTAAGGGGAAATAAGAATAATATCTTCCCAGTGATTTGCAGCTTTTATTGTTTAGGTAATCTACAGATATGACTAACCTGTAAGAGAAGGAATTTTTGGAAAGATTCAGAAAGGAGAGATCAGCGCAACACCCCCTCAGAAGAGCCCCAAATAGCTGTATGAGACACAGGGTGGAAACAGTTAATCTGGGCTGAGAACTGTACAGAGAGGATGCCTTTCTTTTTAACATTGATCATCCCAAGTCATTAAATACTCACTGAGTCCACAGAGCAATCTGTGCCTGACAGATCCAAATGGACCAGGCAGTTGGGCTGAGACAAGAAGAGATACAAGTTCTATAAGCAAAAAGAGAACGAGAGAGAGAGATCATATGAGACTGGAGAAATTGTGTTACAATGGAACAGTGTATGTTTCTGTTTCCAGATAGGTTGTGTATTCTGACCGAGGCATCCTCGCCCGAGAGGACCCCAGGGTTCTTGCTCAGGTCCAGGTGCAGTAGGGAGTTGGAGTACTCATCACTGGAGCACAAAGCCTGAGAGAGAGACACCACTCCTGAGAGAGAGATAGAGTTGCAGATGAATGAAAGTGAAAAACGGAGACAGGAGGAGGATGGGGGAAAGTTGTTAAAAAGACAGAAAACTCTCAAAACATTTTGGGTCCTTGCATTGTTTATAGACATCTGCAGTGGCGGTTATGGTGCACAGTGCAGCATCTGTCTGTTTCAAAGCAATATTTAAATTCTCTGCTGGGTACACTGTAAGGTGAGACAGTAACAGGAGGCACGCTGTCTGCGGGGCAGCATAGGGCTTCACAGATCATGAAAAAAGATGAAACGAAGCTCTTCAGGGGTGAATTGTTTATAGGTTTTACATTCCCTAACCTACAGTATAATCGAACCTGAGCTGTGAGTGATGGTAAATCAGCTGCAGCTTTGGAAAAACATTTGTGTATTAATTAACTAATTTCCACTCAATTTGGGTGAATTACTTTCTTGCTTTGTAAAAAATCCTGCAGAGTGCAATATCAGTGAACAAAAAAATAGGGAAAGCAGGGAGGGGAAAAAAAAAAAGAAAGGCCCAAACCTTTGGAGGTGAGTGAGGTCTTAGAGAGGTTGAGCAGACGAAGCCCTTTGCTGAGGCGGCACACCTGCTGGATTAAGTTGGCCACACCTGCAGCATTGATGTCGGAGACTTAAATACAGTTACAGAATCATCTGTTCAACACACTATTAAAATTAGACTGATAGGAACCTTGCACATGCATAGTAATCATGTTATTACAGTGTTTCATTCTCTTCACTTTATACATGCTCCCTTTAGGCAATATTATCAGGAAGCACAACATAAATTTCCATTGCTATGCAGATGATACTCAGTTATATTTATCTATGAAGCCAAATGAATCAGGTCAGCTGGTCAAACTTCAAGCATGTCTTAAAGACATAAAGGCCTGGATGACCTGCAACTTCTTACTTCTAAACTCTGACAAAACTGAAGTTATTGTGCTTGGGCCTGAAAACCTTAGAAATCTGCTGTCTAATCATATAGTTACTCTAGATGACATAGCCCTTGCCTCCAGTACTACTGTGAGGAACCTGTGAGTCATCTTTGATCAGAATATGTCCTTTAAATCACACATAAACCAAGTCTCTAGATCTGCCTTCTTTCACCTGCGCAATATTACAAAAATCAGGAGCATCCTGTCTCAAAGTGATGCTGAAAAACTGGGCCATGCATTTGTTACTTCCAGGCTGGACTACTGTAACTCTTTACTATCAGGATGTCCCAATAATTCCCTAAAAAGCCTCCAGTTAATCCAAAATGCTGCAGCCAGAGTACTGACAGGAACTAGCAAGAGAGATCATATCTCTCCCATATTAGCTTCTCCCCACTGGCTCCCTGTAAAATTCAGAATAGAATTCAAAATCCTTCTCCTAACATACAAAGCCCTTAATGACAAGGCTCCATCGTATCTTAAAGACCTCATAGAGCCTTATCATCC